TTGCAGCCATGTGAGATAAGGAAACTCAGATGCCAGCATTTCAGCGTGGGGTCATGGCCGCTGAGTGGGAGAGCCGGCGCGGACTCAGACCCTTGACAAGTCCGGAGTTCCTCTGACATCCTTAATCGGTCTTCCATCTGGACCTTGAGTCAGGGGAGCTTCCCCAAGCTGAAAAGAGGAAAGCACACTCCCAAACAAAGCATGGCATGAGCTGCAGGCATTCTTACAGAGGTGAAAGTTCATGTGCTGAAAAACATAGCACTGAGTGTTAGTTTTTTTTTCCCAAGAGCGTGGAAGTTGAGAGGAATGTGAGAGAGTAACAGATGAGTTTTCCGTTCTGTTTCTCAAACAGTTTGTTCCTGTACTCTATTTCTGCCTGCATGCCCACGCCACACATGGTGGGTGATGTTCTGGTGCATACCACCCTCACCGAGGGGCATCTAGCCTGGCTCCATCTGGCAAAAAAGGGTTGTATAGTGCAGGCCAGTGCAAGAATAACCTTGAGCTATTCTGAATTACCGTTCATAAGGACTAACTCACAAACTTGGAACTTGACTAAAAATGTACTTGTAGCTCATCTCAACACTGATGAGGGTGTGCCCCACAGCAGGACGTCTCTGTGCACGTGAGGCCTAAGTCATCAGGCAGGACGCGGAGGCTGGGACATGGTCAGCAGTTGGCCATTGAATCGCTCAACCACGCCATCATCATTCATTCCACATGCACCCATTAGGCCCCAGGTTGTGCTACAAAGCCTGCTGGCAGCAGGACAGGTGGCCATACACAAAGCAGACCTAGCACCCTCCACGTTGAAGCCTGGAGTCAAGGTCACAGCCAGCTTCCTGTCTCGATGGTTACCCAGCCAGGAAGGAGCTGTCCTGTAATGGTTATATAGAGCTCTGGCCACAGGCTCTCTGCCCGAGGACCACTCCTGCCATTGGCCCAAGCTGTTCACAGTCCCATTTGGAGCAGAAGCACAAGATCATGGGGGCAGGGGCCCCCGAGCAGGACTTAGGCCCCAGCAGGCTCTGCAGACATGGGGCATTCAGCCACCAGGAGCTGCTCTGGGAAAGTCACCAGCTGCAGACAGTAATTTAAGCTCTTCCCAAGGAGACTTCCTAAAGCTGGATGTACTCTCCCAGCTTTAGGAAGTGTGATTTATTGTGTGATTTACACTCTCCCTTAATGCCCGTAGCATGGGAAACTCAATCCTACTGGATGTCGTCAGGACCTGTTCATTTAACTTCAAATTTGCAAGAGACCAGTTGGGCTCACGAGCAAGGTCTGTACTTCAGGTAACTAAATGTAATAGCAGACACTTTATTTCATCCTATTAATGATTGCATTTAAATAATTTTTACATTTTTAAAACTCCTGCTTTATGCATTATATCACAATCCAGTAAAGAGTATACAGATGGACTATTATAATCCATTGATTTTGGAAAAAGGAGTTTGTGTATTGAAAAGAAAGAAATAAAATACAATTTATTGGTGTTTCAGAGAATGTCAAAAGCATAAAGAATGGAACATTACTGTTAAAAACAAAGTGGAAGAGGAGTCATTTACCTATTTTGCTTTTGGTTATTTTTTTTTTCATTCGTCACCAGAATTGTGACAAATGTATCAGATCTGCACTGGACAAAATATCTGATGATCATAGACACCGATGATGAAGTTTCTCCTCTGCACATTCAGACTTCTGAAACAAAATTGTTTTTCAGGATATAATTTAAAAATTGACAAAACTTTTCTTTTTAATTTACAATTGCAGCTAGCATTTTTTTTCTAGATCAGAAGTATCCCAGTTTCATAGAATCCTGTCACTTTAGCAATTTGACGAGACGCAGCTCAGGAAGAGACCTCAGTCTGTCTGGAGCATCCTGAGCTCAGACCGGCAGCGCTGCCCCTTCCGGGCTCTGAGACGGCCCGTTCACGGCCTGTTTGTAATGCTCGACCCGCCACACGAGGAGATCTCTTTTGGACCTGCTTTCCAAAGTGCAAGAACCAAATCCTATACAGCGAACTCAGGGACAGAAGCTAGGAAACAATGTCTCTAATTTCTTTTTCTTTAGAACCACAGTAGGTACAACCACTGGTTCCTTTCTCACACAAGGATAGAATGTCCTAGATCCCCAAAGCATCACCAATTGACTTCAGTACCTGTGTGCTGTCTGCTAAGGCCTGCTGGGTCTGCTGGCCGCTGGAGAGGTCTGTACCTTTGGGGGTGAGGGGTACCCTGTCCACACCTCTCACCCCATCCAAGAGCCCTCTCACTGTTCTGCAACCCTGAAAGTGGTAGTGGATAAAGAGACTCTCAGGATTCCTGGTAGGCATCCTCTTTGCACTTAAAATCCATTCTGTGTGCTGTGCTGCGTTGCTCCCACGCCACATCCCCCCCGCTTCTCATGTGTAGGCACAGGAATACATGTGAAGTTCATTTGCTGACTTAGGTGGTGTTCCCCATTACTTCTGATGTCTGGGTATTCTGCTTATGAGTGTTAAGACCTGCAATTGATTTAGTTTTGTTAAAGTGTATGGCCTCAGTCCTGCCTGCCCCAGTTCCTGCAAGGCACAGTGGACTTCCCCCGGAGACACCCAGTCCCAGCTCCGCCTGCCCAGGATGGGGCCCCTCCCCCACCTGCGTACCACCCTCCTAGGTCTTTGTCCTGTGCAGTTATTCAGCTGAGGGCGTATACACTGAAGAAGTGACTCCTTAAACCGTGGGCTGTGATTCAGCACGCTCCGTTTCTTTAGGCTGGAGGCGTCCGATGTTTCCCCTGGGTACTTAATAAGCACCTCTTGTAGGTGAGGCCCGAGCTGTACATTGAGTAACAAACAGATGACGCCTCAGCTCCTGCAAAGGCTGGCTTCAGTGCCGCCTCCTTCACAAAGCCCTCCGGGATCACTCCAGCCAGTTCCCTTTCTTCTCAGCTTCCAACGGTGTTGAGCCTCGCTTATAGCTTGTGCTCATTTTTGCCTGTATGATAGTTATGCGGTTCCAGAAAACACTCTGTGGTGGACCCCATGAGTGAAGGAGGTAGGTTTTATTCATCTCTGCCCAGTGGCAAGTACAGGGCTTGGCTCTGCCTCACAGCGTATTAAATGACTCTGCGTATGTCACCGTGTCTTGCTAATAGTACTTTAAAAAAAAACTTTAGTTGAATAAGTTATTATCTGGTACGTGGAATGCCCAAACCCGCCTCTTCCTTTGGTCCTTCCTGTTGTCACTTAGCACCAGGAGTTTGAAAGGTGAGGGGCCATGTCTCCTTCGTTTGCCTTTTCTCAGTCCCTGAGACCGTCCCTCAGAAGTACTTACTGGGTGAATGTCACCTCAGGGGGGCGTTCTTTTCTGCCTCGTGCAGATGGTACCTGAGGAACATAAGACTAATGTGGAAAGGTTTTGGCAGTAACTCATTTAAAAATAAATAAAATTTTAAATGTGTGTAAAAACATATTGAGGGGGAAAAATTATTACTCTTCAACAGAATGCTGTTTTGACTAGTTTTGAGCCAAAGTTGGCCCCTGAGAAACCTCGATTTTTTAAGATGAGAGATCCTGCCTAAAATGCTGTGTCTGTTTATGGAAGATTATACCCTCTGCCGAGCGAGGCTTGGGCCAGGAAGGCACTGCGACAGCAGTTAGACGGGCATCCGCTGTCTCGTCCTGGCGTCTGGAGCGCGAGTGGGAAGCTGCTGTTGACTCTCACTGTAATCGCAGGATTGGGAGGAATTAACGCCCTTTCTTTCTGCCTGTGTGCACAATGGTTTGCGGTGCCAGCAGAGCTAAATATAGCTAGTATAGGTGTCCGCGTGAAAGAATCTTTTAATGATTTGTTTTAGTTTATTGTGAAGGCTTCAAAAGATTCAGAAAGTAACGAGCATAGTGAATGAACTCCTTCCTCATGCCATTTCCTAAAGTAAAGTGTTTATTCCATCCCACTGTGGTGAAGTCCCAGATCTGAGCACTCGGGAAAGGGCCAGGGTCCAATTGGTAGACCCAGGTTTTCAATTTGTAAATTAATTTAGGCCTCACACATAACTCCATGGGTCTGTTGGGTGTCAGCTGTAACCTAAGTTTTTTATATCTCCTTTGTTCTCCTGAAAAATCATCAACTCAGGGTTGACTATATTTAATTTTTAAGATCCAATAAGAAGATTGGATATATTTTCTGTATAGCATTTTGGTTGAGGAAGAACTTCTCCTCCTCACATATTTCTTTTAAAAATGTGTTGTTTGGTTAATTGTTGCTGGTATGTGCTCCGACATGTGAAGTAACTTTGCTGAGGCCGAAAGCAAAGACGTACACATCTGTGTAGTTTCAGAGTCTGGCTGTGAATGAGGGGTCATGACTGCATCTCCCAGTACACCCGTCAGCTTTGCCACAGCCACTGTGTGCCTTTGACACTGAACTTGCCAGAAGGCTGCCATCTGTCACAAAGTCTGACCGGGTCAAACCTATACTGATTTACACACACACACACACACACACACAAATACATTCATTTGTGTACTTTTATTCACTGGGAGTGAATCAGACTAGTAACATTTACCCATCAGGATTAGTTTTTAATTTCCTTTAAGTTCTTTTTTAAACCATTCTTTCTTAGTTTTTGTTTATCAAGAAAATGGGTAAAATAATTAAACATTCTGTCTGCCAATGTCTGGCATTTTAAGTGATACTGACAGTTTAAATCTGTGGTTATAGTATTGGATTGGACACTTGGGGTTTCTTGGAGGGGGCAGAACATCTTGAGTAAAAGCATCTCTAGCGTAACTCAAGTTTGGTAAACATTTGGAAAGTGTGCGTCTGAGGGATGGACCTCCTTTTGTGAGGTTTCTACTCGGAAGGGTGAGCCAGTGGGTACAGATCGAGCCGTCCGCTCAGTCTCCACTTTCACTCGGTGCTGCTGAGGCTTGTGGGCACAATGGCTCCTCTCGGACATTTGGAAGCATTGGTGAGCCATGCAGTTACTCTTGCTGTCTCTGTCATCCCTGCAGACTCGCTGTCCGTCTCCAGTAACGATGCCAGCCCGCCTGCCTCTGTGGCCTCCCTTCAACCCCACATGATGGGGGCCCAGAGCTCCCCAGGCCCCAAGCGCCCAGGCAACACTCTGCGCAAGTGGCTGACGAGCCCGGTGCGGCGGCTGAGCAGCGGCAAGGCCGATGGGCATGTGAAGAAGCTGGCGCACAAGCACAAGAAGAGCAGGGAGGTCCGCAAGAGCGCCGACGCCGGCTCGCAGAAGGACTCGGACGACAGCGCGGCCACCCCACAGGACGAGACCGTCGAGGAGGTCAGAACCCCGGGTGTGGGTGGCGCTGCTGGTCTGGGGACAGCTGTCCTCTGCTTCTGTGTTCTGTGTGTGCCTGGTGGTGTCAGGGAGCCCACTCGCCTCCCAGCGTGAGGACAAGCTCCAGGAAGAGCTGCTTCCATGTCAGCAGGGTCATAAGCCAACCAGAGGACCGTGCCCCTCCCTCCCAAAGCCTGGGTCCCCCGGGCCCGCTCCAGAGCAAGTGGGCCCCGTGCCGCCCCAGCCCTTCCCCTCCGCATTCAACTAGGGGCGAGATCAGCAGGTGCCCACCAGTCTTGGCCTGTGCTGCCAAAGATGTAAGCAGTCACAAAGATTTAGTGAGGTTAGCACTAACCCCCGGGAGTAGCACAGTGCGGGGAAAGCACCAGTTTCAGATGTAGAAGGACTAGAGAAATGTGTGTGTCCTCCAGTTATTTCCACCCACCACCATATTCTCACTTACATCCGTCCTGAGTAGGAAATACCCAGTTAATTTACTTTGCTAACCCAGCAGTAAACACTGGGTTATTCCCATGTCATCAAAGACAAATGTGTGTCTGTCAGCCAGGGATTTTTTTTTTCATTTCCTTTTGTGGGGGACAAGGGAGCTTTAAATTACATTTTAAAATTCTTTCCTGATCCCCAAGTTGGGCCAAAAGCCCTGGTGGTGTCAGCGAGGGGCCCACGGAGTTTTTCACTGGGCCCACCAGGATCGCTCCTAGACTTGAAAAGAAGAAGGCAGACGGAGAGAAAAGACAAGCTCTGTATCATTCAATTCATTTTGCAGATACGGGTTCTCTGCTCCCTTTTTCCTGGGCAGGCTCTGCCCCGGGTTTGCATTGGCACGTGTGCTTCATTTTACCCCATCGTTTCTAAATCCGTGACAGAAATAATACTGAAATTTTTTCTTAAAGTAAGAATAGAGGAATATTCGTGTGATAATTCAGATTCTTAAAAATGCACCTTGGATTGCATTTTTATGCCATTATTATTTCCATGAAATTTGTTCTAGCAAGATACCAAAAGTGAAGCAAAGCATGGGCCAGAGGATCTGAATCACCGTGAGGGTTATGGTTCCAGTTTCTGAACATTTTTTTTCCTTCTTGAAGATGAGATGATGTGTTCAAAGCCTAACAGATACCGTTGGCAGCCCCTTCAAAAGGCACACTCACTGGCCCTTCTCTCGTCCAAGTTCACAAGCAAGGTGGCTGGGTTGCAGGGAGGGATGTGAAGTCACCGCCAGGGTTGAAAAGAGCTTGTTCCTGTGATCCATCCATCGAGTTTCCGTCCAGGCGCATTTTTCCAGTTAACCCCTCAGGGCTCGTGTTTTCTGTGAACTGACACTGGTGATCAGGGCCTAGAGTATAATGAGCAAATGTCGGTTCGATTTCAGAGGGGCCGCAACGAGGGCCTGAGCAGCGGCACGCTCTCCAAGTCCTCGTCCTCGGGCATGCAGAGCTGCGGAGAAGAAGAAGGGGAGGAGGGGGCCGACGCCGTGCCTCTGCCCCCGCCCATGGCCATCCAGCAGCACAGCCTGCTCCAGCCAGACTCCCAGGACGACAAGGTAGGCGGCTGGGCTGCCCACAGGAGGGGAGGGGCCTGCAGTAGCTGCCCCGCTCCAGCCTCCTTGCAGGACGTAGGTGACTCTGGGGCTGTGCAGGGGCAGCTGGGAAGTGTGCTGCTTTTCCAGGCAGATTCTGCTGGGTTTTACCCCAAAATCTTTGTGGATGACAGAGTCCAATTAGACTAAGTAATAGGCCGATGTGTGCAGTTTCTCATACATGTGCGTTTATATAAATATGTTCAATGCATTTTTAATGGTGCCGCAGTAATTGCTACTTTTAAAATAATCATTTTTTTTACTATCCTGACCAGGGTCCCCGAGAGAGCAGAGAGTCACTGGTACTCTGCGTGACTGTGTCCTCACTGAGCGTTAGGCCTTCTTGATCTCCCCGTTAGCTGTTTTTGCACAGGGGTGTTGGGTTCAGATGAAATGGTGTTGCTGTCCACTTCCTTTCTCCCACGTGCCAAGGAACCAGGACGGCACTGGACTGTGGGGATGGGCGTCCAAGGACCGGAGTCAGTTCAGAAACTGCTCCTTGGATCATTGTGGAGGCTTCAAGCCAAGTCAGTCTTTTCTTGCTGTTTCTTAGAGTTCTTGCATAATCCATAATTATTTAATATATCCCGATTCTAGAACCCTAAAATATCAGAAAGGAAGCCTGGTGGCCGGCTTGCCTGGCCTCTCACATCCCGGCCCATTGTGCTCCCCCAAACTGTCAGGTGTTGAAAACAGTGCTGCGAAGTCATTACTGGTGATTTTTAGTTTTTAATTTTTTGGCAATAACTACGTTTTAGGAGTCAAACAGATGTCTGCATCAGTTTTCCCCATTTTTCTTTCCTGGCTCCCTCCTCGGTGCTATCACAGTCTCTTGCCGAATTGCCTGTTTTATGGCCGGGGGTCGGCCAGGGCCCAGTGATTGACGGCTGGTGAGGCAGATCGCACAGGAGTCCAACCAGCCTAAGGCAGATACTTCTCCAGCGCCTTTGCTGTGGAACTTACCTCCTCCTCCTTTTGTGGCACTCAGTACACAGTCAGGGAGCTGCAGGTCTTGGCGGAAGGATATAGCTTGGGTTTGCTCCTGAAGTTTGGGGCATTCCCCGTGCCACTGGGGGGGGGGGGGACCCGAGGTGAAAGAGGACCTCACCCCACACTGTGCGCAGCGGAGGCAGTGGGGCTGTGTCATTTCTCTAACAATCCGAAGCTGGTGTGTAGTGTTTGAAAGTATCCCATTCTTTAAAAGCAGAAAACTAAAACTTCTTAAATTTGGATGGGTAGACAAAAGTGAGGTGCTAAGCTTGGTTATTTACCAAATAAGAGTATTTTTCTCCACTTAAGCCGGGGATCACACTATATTCTTCTGTTTGCTAAAACCATTTATTGGTTAGTGTGTTATCTCACTAGGTATTGTCAACAGCAGTTCTTCATTTACAAAAATTTGTAGTGATGTTCCCAGAGAGTATATGATCTTGTGACTAATATTTTGTTTTGTTCTGTTTTCTCTTTTTGTAAACTTCCACCGCAGCATTATGTTGATTTGTGTTCCGTGTCTGTTTTGGCTCAGTTTCCTTATCTCTCCATTTGACTTTTTTTCCTTGTTTTCTTCACCTCATACTCCAGATTTCATTAGACCAAGCCAACATTCGTTTTGCAAAGTGCACAGCTGAGTCCACATACGTAGCAGCCTCATTGTAAACGCATAAACCCGTATCTGTCTGCTGTGCGAAGCGCATCGTTAGGACAGCCGCTGTGTGTTGCATGCATCTCCGCTGTCCTTAATATGAAGCGAGGTTCATATTACGCCCCCTTCTAGTTTCCAGTCAGTGAAGAGTGCAAGTAATCTGCAAACACACCCTGTTTGCTAATTACTGAACTTGAACTCAGTAGCCCTTCCCCCAGATCCTTAACTGTCACCCCTGTACACCCTGATTCTAGCCGTAAACGGCATCTGATAGCTTGTGCGGCCACAGATCTTCTGTACTCTGCACTAATCATTGGGGAAGTGGATGGCACAGAAAATGGTGAGCTCGTCCCCCCTCCTCCCTGTCTGGTCAGCGCACCCTGGTTCCTTTTCTTTCTCATTTCTTTCTTTTAACCCCACAAGCACAGTGAAGCCATTTTTAGTATCTTGTTTTGTTTCCTGTTTATTTAAGGAATCACTCATTAGACCTTAACCCTTTCATGCTCCCATTAATCAGACCCTATATTTTTTCCTCTTCTGCCAATACCCTACCTAGCCAGCAGCTGGCAAACGCTGTAGTTAGAATTTCCCCGTGCCCAGTCACCTCTCTGAAAAACATTATGATGTTACATGACTGCGGATTAAAAACAGACATTGTCTGCTTTCCACATGTCTCCGAGACAGGTTTTATTTAATATTTCATGTCAGAATATTGTAAATTTAAAAGGATGACTTTAAATAAATGCAAACAAAGACAAACTTGTGGTCTTTTTGTCTGGAATTACTTTTAAAAAAGCTTGAGCTTGCAGGAGAATTTACTGTCTGTCCAGTGACTAACATAAGGCGTTCCCCTCCCCCTCCCTCTCTCTTTCTTAACTTCTTCCTTAGGCTTCTTCTCGGCTCTTAGTCCGCCCCACCAGCTCCGAAACGCCAAGTGCAGCCGAGCTTGTCAGTGCAATTGAGGAACTCGTGAAAAGCAAGATGGTAAGGCTCCCCCAGAGGAAGTCTGAGGTTTGGAAGCTGCTCCGAGGTGCTGCTACAGGTGGATGTGCCCTTGGCCCTGTGTTGCTCTGAGCTACAGAAGGAATCTGAAGTCCTGCTCAGTTTTGGGGTCCCCAAGACCATCCTCACGTTTAATAGTTCACTTGAGGGACTGAGAACTTTAGAAAAGCCACAGTTGCACTATATTGCATGAAAGGACACAGGTGAAAGTCAGCCAGGAAGGATATGTGGGGCAGGGCCCAGGAAGGTTCCGGGTTCAAGCTGCCCATTGTCCTCACCCAGTGGAGTCGGCGTGGACAGTGCTGGCTTCCCCTAGTGACAATGTCCGGCGTATGTACAGAGTATTGCCAAACAGGGGCACTTACCCAAGTGTGGGTATTCAGACATTTACGGGGGCTCAGTCACATTTACATGATTGACTGCATGGCTCACCTTTGACCCCTGCCCCTCCAGAGATCAAGATAGTACATGGCTCAAAGCCCCCACCAAAATTACATTGTTAACATACCCATCTTGTTCCAAAGCCCCCAAGTACAGGTACCTCCCAAGAGCCAAGGTTGATCCTTTCCTTCACCTACACTGTCTCCAGTGTCGGCACCTTCGTAACAAATGTGGTCAATTCCAGTCTTGTCTAAAGATGTGGCCAGAGTCAGTGGTTACTCACGTAGGCTGACACCTTCCTCTTGCTGTCTCCAGGACCTTTCACTCGGCTTTACAGTGTGGTGGTTACGTGTGCACTTGATTTCTTGGTAACTTCTGCATTGTGGTTGGTCCACACGGATTCCTTTATTAAACACCCCAAATCGGGTATTGATTCTTTAAAGTTAGACAGGTGTGCATTACTTCTGATTCAGACATTTCCATGTTTCTTCAGTTCTCCTAACTATGAAGTGGAAAAATCACTAATGGTAATAACAACTTTTTAGACTAGTATATTACACTACCCCTGTAAAGTTACTTAACATCTTTTAAAAGTCACCTCTCCCAAACTAAAAGCCCCCAACCGCTCCCACAAGTCCGGTCTGCAGCAGTTTTCACTTTGAACCATCTGACATATTTCCTCACGGTGCAGACGTACGTGCTGCATGTGTGCACGTGCCTTCTTCAAAATGGATTCATGTACTCTTTAAGATTCTCAACGCAATACATCTTAAGGATCTTCTCATGTCAGTGCCTATAGATTTATCTCAGTCCTTTTACTAGCTGTATAATATTCTATTGATGGGTGCAGTGATAATACCACCAAGGGCTTATTCTAAACTAGGTGCTATTCTAAGTGCCAAGCATGTTTTACTGTAAATACTCCCCACCATGGCCTTATTAGGTAGACACACACAGCTGTTATCTCATTTTATAGATGGGGAAACTGAGGCACACAGAATGCTTAAAAATTTGGCCAGCTAATAAGGGAAAGACATGATTATACTATAATTCGTTTAAGTAAATTTCATACTAATATATAATAAGTTGTAGGTTTTTTTCAGTTTTTTACTATTATAAACATCCACGCTTGTATCTGTGATTACTCACATATCTATAGGACGAATTTCTAGCCCTGGAGTTGCTACATCAAAGGGTATATACTTCTTTAAAATTAGAAGTGTATCTTCCTTCAGTCAGTATGGTAGGTACTATATACATCATTCCAATTTCTTCTCCCACTCCTAACCAGCTTCTAATGAAACTGGTTAACTAGGACAAATGGGAATTATATCAAGGAAACTTCAGACGGACACTATTGCCCTGCCATACCTGGAACTCCCCCCTCGGGTAGTCGTACAGTCTTCCGAAAAGCATGCCCTGGACTCTGAAGTTAGACAGGAAGTTAGACAAGGAGGGCTGCTGGGAGTTGGCAGAGAACTCAAGAACTTGACTCCACTGGTCAAGAATTTGGGATTGTGTCGGTGTGAATTGAGTTAAAGCACATCCTGGCTGTCTCTTTGACAGAAGTTGATTAATGATCCAAACAAAGGATGCTTAAATTGTACTCAGTGAGTTTCAAGCATCCTTAAACATTTTAAAAACAGACATTCATCACATCAATTATATATAACCATTAAAATCAGTCTTGTCTATGATTTGAAATAGTATTCCCAAGGAATGCTGTACGGCAACATTTTGTCAACTTGATAGTCATTATTCTGCACATTTAAGTTGTATTCCATTTTAAGTGGTCTGAGATTCATTTGTGATTAATTTAGATAGACTTCCAAATGTAGGGGAGTTCTGTGGCTTATCTCTTTCAGCTCTTACTTGTTTATTCCCCCTTTCCAGTTCCACTGGTGTATGTCTCTTCCTAACACAAAGTTATTAGTGTTGTGGGAAGGGCATAGGTTTTAGAGTCAGGTAGGCCAGGGTTCAGACTCTCCCACTTAGGGCTGCAGCCGCTCGAACTTGTCCTTCAGCAGTAAACTGGAGATCTCGAAGTGCAGCTCGTTGAGTGTCTTAAAGGGATCCGCCGTGTGGGCATTCACACATGCCTTTCCTTCCCCGCTGGAGAACCAAACTCATGTTGGTGTGATGGACTCACCCCTTCTTCATCCTCCAGAGAATGTAATCTAGATTCTGCCTCTTTTTCTGGTCCAAGAGAAACAGAACTCGGTATTGATGTCCTGTCACTAACTCTGTAATGACTAACAAGAACTACTTTTTGTCCCTACAAACTCTACAGAATCATTTAATATTCTCCCCCCATTCTGGTCCCTGTGACTCTTGAGTTACTCCTGCTTGTCTTACGTGCTGTAGACCCTTAGTCATGACATTCATCTTCTTGTGGGGAATCTGTAGGCCAGAGGGTCTTCATGACAGGATTTGAAGACTGGCCGGTTTATGCATCAGAAGCTGTGAATGAATGGATTGGACTGGGGAGGAGAAGGAGGAAAGTGCTCAACTGTTACATGATCATGGAAATGAACTTCTTAACCCCAAAACCAGAGGGTTCAACCCAAAAAGTCGGAATCGCCCAGAAACCTGTTCCCTGGGGTTTGCTTCTCTCTCGTCTCCATGTTCCCAATCCAACCAGTATTCAAAGACGGTGTATCTTTCCTGAGCATCTACAATACAGCAATAGCAACGGATAGCCACAGTGGGGGCCGTTTGAATTTGACTTTGGGGTTTTATTCTTTGCATTAATCTAAATAGAAAGAAAGATAAAAGAAAAAATGACAATTAATGAAGTAAACATATAACTCAAGGTAGTAGAACAACAAAATAAAGCAAAGAAGAAAGAATGAATTCATAGAGATAAAAGCAGAAGTTACTGAGTTAGAAAACAGAAAAATAATAAAGCCAAAAATTTGTTCCTTCAAAAAATATAAATAGTAGGTAAGCTTCTGAAGAAAATAGAAAACACAAATTCACAAAATAAAAAACCATAAGGGAGCAGTAAACCGAGGGAATTGAAGCAGTCTTAACACATGACTTTGTTCACCTCTTCGAAAGTAAAATTTGAAAACCTGGATGAAATGGACAATTTTTAAGAAGATGTATTAGACCAGAACCAACCGCAGAAGAGAAAACAGCTGTACAGACCTGTCTCCATCTAAGAAACAGAGAAACTTGACAGTAACCTGCCCACCAAACACCACAGACCCAGAGGACTTCACAAGTAATTTGTCTGAATGTGTCAAGTCCCAGGCATTTCGGGTCCGAGCCAGCTTTGCGGTGGGGGGCGTGGACGGCGTAAATGTGATGAGAACACATAACCCCAGCCGTGCCCTGTGCATGGACGCCCACCCATGTCTGGTCCAGACAGCCTGTCCCCCCGGCTGTGGAAGGATGGCCCCACAGCCATACCCGGACCCCAGGAGTCGACCTCGTTCCTCACTCCTCAGCGAGAGGGTGCTTCTGGGGTATTTCTCTTTTTTTCTCACCATTCAAGTGAGCAGAGTTGAAACTGATGAGCTTCAGCTGTTCCCTTGCAAATCTAGACAGGAGACAGTTTGGGCCTTCCTCCCCCTCATCCTTCAGACCCTGGTCTCCTGCCAGAGACCTCCAGAACCAAGGAATGTGGTCAGGCTCTGCCGCTCACTGCAAAACACTTGCTTCCAGTCGAGGTCAGTGGCAAGTTCTTTAAAAATGAGAGGGCTGTCTGCCCATCCAACCCTGTTCCTCAACTGTCTTTTCCTCAGTCAGAGCAGCACCTGACGTGTTTCCACAGCTCTGTGGGTGTGGTGCGCAGGGGCAGGACTGCACGGACGGACCGTGTCCTCCCAGCTGTGCCTGGTGACGGAGTCCGCGTCAGCCTGTCCTCTGAAGGGGAGAAGACGGGACGAGTATTAGAGATTTGGTTTGACAGGAAATACTGTGTTCTTGCAGTTTGTGCTGGGCTTTTTGTTTGAAGATAAGTTGATCGCGTTTTTCCAGTTCAGTCATTAAGTACTTCTTGATCATCTCTGTATGTCCAGCTGGGCTGCTTTGGAACTTCTAAAACTATAACCTATATTTTGTGAATTCAGGCTAAGGAAGAAAATGAATATGTACCAATTAGAAAGAAATCAATCGCAAATCATTGTCACACGGAAATCCAAGGAAAGATGTCATCAGTATTTAACTCTGAGATGTATTGATCACCCACAGAGCTTTGCTGCAGGTTCTACAGGAGTTACAACAGCAAAAACTGTTACCTGAAAAAACCTGAAATCCAGGGAATGGGCGGGGGGGGGGGGGGGGGGGACAGAAGCAAGGAGCTCTCCACTAGCGGTTGAAGCCAGCGTGACAACTGCTTCCTGCAGGAGAGAGCGGCTGGCAAGAGCGGGTGTCCCGGAAAGAGGCGCTGTTTTTAGCTGAGTGGTCCGTGTGCCCCAGTGTGAGTCATGGCTTCATAGGTGATCAAGAACCAAACCAGGTTTTAAACTAAAACGTAGGTGGCTGATGCTGCTATGTGGCCCACCAAGGCTCACAGGCGGATGTATCTGGGGTCAACTGGCCTGATCAAGACAATTCCACACTCATCAGAAATGATCATGCTTCCATTCCACAGGAATATAAACGAAAAGAAAATTGCTGGATTTGAGACTGGTGCGGTGCTCCAATGTAAACATGTTGTATGTTTTTCTAATTATGTGGGATTGTGAATAGACTATATCAATGTATGTAAATTCACTATTTTTACAAACAGAGTTTCTAAACTTTGCAATCAGGTCTTCCGCATCTCCTGAGTGTGAGATTTTCCCATCCTGCTCTTGGCTCTGATGAGGCAGAAACGTGACTGAGGGTGTCCTTTATTTCAGGCCCTGGAGGACCGTCCCAGCTCCCTGCTAGTCGACCAGGGAGACAGCAGCAGCCCCTCCTTCAACCCTTCAGACAATTCCCTTCTCTCCTCCTCCTCGCCGATTGATGAGATGGAAGAGAGGAAGTCCAGCTCCCTAAAGAGACGGCAGTAAGACACAAGTGTTTTCGTTGTCATTGTTTGGGTGGCTTTCCTCCCATCATTGTCACCTTCAGACCTGTGACATCTAGCTGGGCGCAGTGAGGAGATCCAGGGTCTCTGTGTGTTTGAAAAGTGCTCAGGCCCTAGAAGGGCTCAGTAAGCCAGCATGCAGTTTCTGTGGTTTTGTTTGTACATTATACTTTATTCATAAGTACAAATAGTTTCAGACAATAGTACCTTCTGTCACTTCTGCTGAGAAACTCCTATACTTTCTGTGGTGTACATGGTTGTGAAGGAAAAAGAAGGCAACATAAAATTAAATACGGTCCCAGAAACTGGAATATGTTTTCAAGCTCACGTTAGTGGTAGTGTTTCTCAGTTCCAGTAAAGCATCTCATGGTGAAAGAAGAAAAAAGAGTCCTGGTAAATATGAGGTTTAAACTTGCCTTTGGAGAGAGGAAAACTGGTGGACTACCAAGGGCAGAGCTGGGCCTTCTGCACCTGCAGTGATGCTGGGCCCACGGCAGGTGCTCAGTCAGTGCCGCCTGGTCGGAGGAATGAATGAACACATGAGGGAATGACTTCAGGCCAAAGGATGTGCTCTACTGATCGAGTGATTTGATTGTCTTCTGTTATCTGAGTGGCCTTAAGCAATTTCGGAACCTTCTGAGTTAAATTTTTTCAAAACAAGCAGTCCTGAGTTAAATTTTTTCTCATATGTCCAGTGAAGCTTCACAAAAACAGAACATCACAAAACAAAAACCAAACCTTCTCCCTGTCGTGTCATGCCAGGTCACAGCAGCATGTCTGAGCTTCTCTCGGGCGTTTGTGTGTGTGACCGGAGTCTGGTGGTGGGAGTTCGCTTTGAACAGGGAGTGTCTTGCGACCCCCACAGCTCTCAGGTCGTCACCCACATGAGCCTGTAAGCATTTGGGACACTCAGAACTGGGCACTCAGGTGTGCAAGTTCGATAACACTCCTGTTCAGTCCTGGGGGAGTTTTCACTTGGCAAAAGCAAAAGTGTAAAAGAATTTGTGTACAAAACGACGAGTTTGGGTTGTAAACACTTTTTCTCTCTGCAGCTACGTTCTGCAAGAATTAGTGGAGACAGAGCGTGACTACGTGCGGGACCTCGGCTACGTGGTTGAGGTATGTTTTCAGAAATGTCACAACCTTTATCAACCCCCAGAGTCTACAAAAAGATATCCTGTTATAGGTTAGCACCCACACCTTTTCAAAAACTTTGAAAAACATTTTTGACCAAAAAAAAAGTATTTTTGAAAAATAAAGTTTAGGCAATTAATCTTAATAGTCTGTATTCACTTTTAAAGGCCTCTTTTTGCTTAACATGCCTGATATAATCATCTTTTAATAATTAAGTTTTAAAATTATGGTATCCAACCATCGTGGCTCTCATGCGGGAGCCTTTAATTTCTTCCCCTGAGTGGGTATCGCCACAGAAATGAGAATGTCACTGGTTACCAGAGTCAGGGTGTCCGGCTGTGGTTCGCTCCCATCCCGCATCTTCCTCAGTTCAGGGGATGTCGGCGGGTGCACCAGGTCGTTGCTCAGCGTTTTCTCAGTACAGGTGATGGTCTCACCCTTTTCATGCCCGGAAGTTGCCATGTCCTGTGTAGCCATCACAGAACCACTGCCTGTCCCACCGGAGGGAGGACCATCTCCAGGCTGTGCCTGCCCTTAGGTTCAGGGCATAGTCATCCTCATAGACTCGGCTCCTCAGAAGCTGTTGTTACAGTATGAAGTCTCACCACCACTCTCTCAACTTTGCGGACATGTACGGGACAATGCTTTTTGGGTCTACATTCGATTAAAAGTCACGGCTAATAAGTTCATTGTGTAAGTGAAAAGACTTACCGTACTTGCTTTGTCCACAGTCATTGTTAACAGTGAAATAAGTCAGTTGAGTATGTAAGTGGTTCTGGTACAGGCTGAATTTCTTTGGCGTTAAATGGAAGTTTTAATCTCATTTCAGCAATGCATTTAATCAGTCATTGTTAAAAAAATCCTGATTTAACAAATTATTTCAACAATTTAAAAGGAAAAATGTTGGTTTATATGAAAAATGCTGAGAACAGAGAAAATGTTTCTGGCCAAAAATGTAATATTTATAAGCTGATAAGATTTGTTTTATGAAACCATTTACACTTATTAAACTTCTCCAGTTCCTTAGAAGAATTTTGATTATGCACACCAACAGGTCAGGGAGAGGAGGTCACAGCCACGACTGGAACAGTAATTACGTTCTACTTAAATCTGCACGCTGACCCTCAGACCTCAGGGGTGTGAGCTCCGTGGGCCCCCTTATACACGGATTTTTCTAAATAAACACTGTCCGTGCATTAGCTGTTAAGTTTTTGAGGAATCAAATTATACCTGGATTTTTTGAGCACATGGGGGTTGGCACTGCTGAACCCCTGTGTTATTTGGTGATCAACTATATTTCAAGTGCCAGTTAAGGACACTTTTTATATAGGATTTTTGATTGGTTTTAAATAGAGAGTTGTTTCCAAAACATGGTACGTGTCTGCTTTTTTTTCCCTTATGACTTTTACTAAACCATTATTCACACATGTTCAATGAAATAAATGTATTTTTAAATAATTCTAGGGCTACATGGCACTTATGAAAGAAGATGGCGTTCCCGATGACATGAAAGGAAAAGACAAGATCGTGTTCGGCAACATCCACCAGATCTATGACTGGCACCGAGAGTACGTAAAATCCTCCTCGTGCCTGAGGGTGTGCACACAGCGTTACCTGCCAGACGGCAGCATGTCCGCAAATGGGGGCAGGCATTCATTGGTTTGTTTCATCTTATTACCCATGTAGCTAGTGGAGGCAGCTGGTGCCAAGGAAATAGCATTTCATGGCCCACAGAGGAGTCTTATGTCCTTCACACTGGTCTGTCCAGGGCGCAACTTGCGTGGGGGTGCCGGGCCTGACTGCGGGCTTCACAGCCTGGGCCTGACTTGGCAGACTGAGTTAATCCATGTGAAGCACTCAGAACACCACCTGCACTGAGTAAGCCTCGATAAATGGTTCCAAAGAATTGCAGCCACCTCTCGAATAAATCCAGGTTATTCCTAGAGGGTTTGGAAGATGCTCATTTTTCCAGCCAACTTGTAATGGAAAAAGTAGACATGACCGCCCGTGGAAATCAAACTGACCCACTGCATTGCCACGCCTGTCCTAATGAGAAGGAGATCCTCGCGGGGGCTGATTCTGCAGCAGCTGCCACAGCTGCCAGGGCTGGTCACCGCATATCTGTCCCTTTGGGTCACCTTGCTCCTAGTTTTAAATAATCATTTGGGGATTGCTCTGTGCCAGTTGCTGCTATTATTGTGGAACATTCCAGCGGTACTGTTCTGGTCCCTGTTGCGTGGACAGGCCTCCTGCTTTCCTGCCTCTGTGCTTGGCTGTCATCAGCCTCTGAACCCAATCAAGTGAGCACTTCCCTGGAGCCCTGACCACTCGGATCGGACGTGCTCTCTCCTCCTTGCAGATAACACATGTGCTTGTGCTTTTGAAGCTGTAACACACTCTACCAATATAAGGAGGGTCCCCGTGGTGTGTATCCAGAGCTGTTTTATTATTTCAACACTTACCCGTCCTAATAGAATGTGAAACTCTTGAACTCAGGTACAGGGTCTTCATTTTTATATTTTCTATAATATCTAACTCAGCTGGACTCGGATAAAAATGACTGATCAGCTTTAGAAACAGCACTCTAACTTACAACTCTATAGACTATAGATTTACCAACAGTCTGCAGTAAGTTTAAAAAGGGATATTTGGTGCTATTAGCTAGACTTCTGCTCCTAAGGCTGGTTTGTAATCTGTGGCAGAGAAGAGGAAGATAACACAGTGGTCCTGGCTGACCAGACAGAGAAATCGTCACCCAGAGGTTGTGTCTGCCATGACATCTGCAGAACCAGAAGCATTTTTAACCCAAAAGCTAGACAGTTCAACAACAGCATTAACTGGTACACAGGTTTGCAGGTTAATAAAACACCGAGCATAACTATCAAGACATGTAAATGACAGGAAGGTGGGTATACCTCCGACAAACAGCTACAGCCCAGGACATGGAGAGCAGTGGTCCACAGCTGTTGTGTTTCTGTAATCACACCTGATCTTCGTCTGCATGGGAGCTAATGTTTAGAACCCAGAAGCTGGTTTCGATCATGAGAAATCGTTATAAAACTGTCACAGATTTTACATGTATTTTACATGTTATTCAACTTGAGCCTCTTAAAAAATGTAATAGAAGAATATAAAATTTACAGGTACAAGGACCAAGCATTTTGAAATAAACATTGCTTTGAAACATTTATTTTTCTATCAGTGTTCAGCCAGGGTATTATTGCATGTTTCGTTTTTTAAAAAATGAGACAAAAATGCTAATTGGCCCAGAGGAAGGGAAAGTTGCCAGCCAGCGAGGGGATCCTGCCATTCTGCTCTCCCTTTTTAAACTGTCGCCTTTTGCTCTCTGGTCCTAACTCAGGGTCTGTACTTGGCACTTCGGGGCAGCTCGTGCCCAAACGCACTGCCCTGGAATTATGAACCGCAGTCTGAAATTAGACGGCCAGACTGGAAATGCTTGTAATACTTCTCTCGTTTTAGCTTTTTTTTAGGAGAGTTGGAGAAGTGCCTTGAAGACCCAGAAAAGCTAGGATCCCTTTTTGTGAAGCATGTGAGTATATTACTGTTATTTAGAGTCTGTTCCGATATTGTCATCGGTTCGTTGGATGACTAAACAGGGGAACTCACAGTTTACAAGAGTGCCTACGTCAAGAATAAAGTCAAACTGCACAGTGTCAGAGAGTTGGGAGCAAAGTCCTCACCAGCCCTTCTACATACAAATGACCTGCCTCTGTGGTCACCTGGCCACAGTGGGCTCTTAAACTCACAACAGTACAGAGAAGGCAGAAGGGGACCAGAGCCAGACCAGAAGCACGAATGTATTTGGGGATGTCTGTGGGCAAACAGGTGTTTGGGGGAGATAGTGACATACCTAGACATGCAGTGGGTTTAACACCGTGGCCATATATACGTGTGCCTGTAAAATAACCGTGCTGCCGACATGAAAGGGTCTTTTTTTAGTGAAAAATTACTCTTTTTTCAAAACATTTGTGACAGTAGTTGTATTTTTGCAAATCCCTTTAATGTCTAGCTCAGCAAATTTTAGCCGGTGTACCAGAGGAATTACCACTTTTCCCTTAGATTGTCAAATAAAAAATGACAGCAGCCAACACAGTAGCCACTGGGTGTGAGGGCCCCGTCTTGAACCATAGATATACAGGTCGTGTAACAGAGTTGCATCCTATTGGTCACATTGCATAATAAGGTTGCATCTGATTGGTTCATTCTTGGTACTAGAAATCCTTATATACAAATAGAGGTACCCGATTTTTTAAAGTCACTTTGGAACAAAAGGGGTAGATAATTACTATTATTATTTTTTGAAAATCAGTCAAAATAATACCTGTTTTTTCTTTTTTTTCAATTGTCAAAAATATATTTCTGGTGTGCCACAGAAATTTAGTAATTAGTTTATGTGTGCTATGAGATGAAAATAAGGTTGAAAATCGCTGGTCTGGCTTACTAGAAGACAGATGGATTTTCCTGTCTGCTTATGTGTTCATTCTGTTGTACTGTTTTTTAGTTAAAATAAGTCTGTTCTCCCACAGGTATATGGTTGGAAAGGGCTGACTCTTTTTATAGCCTTTTCAGATCAATACAGAGAGTGTGCTTAGATATGCACCAAAACTTGACAAGTAGAGAGAAACAGACCCATAAATACAGAGAACAGCAGACTGATGGTTGCCAGAAGAGAGGGGGGTTGGGGACTAGGTGATAATTTCTTAAAGGTTAGTAGCATCTTAGAGCCTGAAAACCAATCGATGACCTTCTTTCTCACCTACTGTGACACCAGAAGCCACTGTATTGTCTTGCAAGTCAAGGCTCTGTCACCTGTGTGCCAGCATGTGGCATTGTGCATCGATCGTTCAGAAAACACTGCCGCACTGATTCAGACAGGCCTCCCAGATGTTGGACATCTCACTACACAATATCAGAAATGAGATTTGTTAATAGTACCACCCATCTCTTCAGGGGAGTCTTTTTAAGTATCGTCAAGTTCACGGTGGCAGAGTCGTTTTTACCAGACAGTGCTATTTGCCTTGAAACAACAGGCTCACTTTGTTCATGTTCCAGAAGGCGTCCACCAGGCACCCGAGTGAACGTAACTGTAGCTGGTGTCCAGCATTCTTTCTAGTAAAAGTGGTGGCACAGCCCCCAGCCCCCACACCAGTGCTCTTCCTGGGGACAGAGAGCTTGTGGGGCTCCACTGTTGCGAGGACCTCCATTAGGTCATAAGAATGTTCAAAAGATGCACACTCCGTGATGGAGTTTCATAAATGTATTTGCATTACTTCAGGAGGACATTCTGAGGTCAAACTGGCCGTTGTTTTCACTGCACATGTGTGGCAGTGACAACATGTGCTGAGACGCCAGCCGTTTCACCCACTGTTGGAGAAGGGCAATGACATCTTAGTGTTACTTGGAAAAGTTTTGAACGGGCCCCTGCAAGACCTCAGGGACCCCGGGGGTGTGTACACCACACCTGGACCTTCCCCAGGTTAAGGGTGACTCACTGTCTGCTTTTTCCTGCCTTCATATTTGAGACCAAGGAGCTTTTTCTTCCCTATTAAAAAACAGCCAGACTTCCCAAGACCGCTGCCAGGGGAAGAAGGAGCAGGAGTAGTTCTTCCTTTAGTATTAAGAACCATGTCCTTCCACTACCCCTGGTGTTTGCCCGGTAGAGTGAGGGGCCTGATCAGATGCAGCTTGGGGGGGGGGGGGCAACGGTGAGGACTGTTCCAGAGCCTTGAAAAGAGGGCCGAGCTGCGTCGTGAACGTGCTCCCGCAAGTCAGAACCGTGCCGTTTTCTTTGAAGAAAATTTCCTCTTTAAACGTGCTACAATGTGTGTGTGCTCTTGCAGCCTAATGAACTTCTGATTGTTTTAACCCCTCTGTTTGCCTTTTTCATTCCTAGGAGAGAAGGTTGCACATGTACATAGTTTATTGTCAAAATAAACCAAAGTCTGAGCACATCGTCTCAGAATACATCGATACCTTTTTTGAGGTAAGATGTCAGGCAGAAACAAAGCGTTTCTGAGTCTTTTGTTATCGTTGCTTTTCAAAACTTGAAATATTCACTGTTACCCAGGAGTATTCAGGAAGGCGGCCTCGATTATAAGAAATCTGAATCCATGTTTCTTTCCTATAAATGAGAGAAACAAGTATGAATTCAATCTGGGATCATATCCCTCAGCATTCAGAACACTGGGATCATCATGAAAATAGGTTTTTTAAAAAAATCAGTGTTGAACTTAAGGCTCGGCACAAATTCAGAATAATTCGTGATCTAAATTTTTAGCCTAAAACTGAAATACAGGAATGAACAGAAGGCGGCAGTTGAAAGCAGGTCTTTAAACACGTATTAAAGACTACTTTGAAAAACGGCTTATAAGGCTAAAGTGTGAACTTTGGACCTTCTGAGAAAGAGCACCCACTGAACACCCGCCCGGTCTCCGTGCGGTGGTCTCTGCTCGGCACTTTGACTCTGGTGCGTTGGCGTCTCTGACCAGTAGGGGGACTCACGCGTTGCTCTTTAAACGATAACACTTGCCTTTCTCTCTCCTGTACGATCACAGGACTTAAAGCAGCGCCTGGGCCATAGGTTGCAACTCACAGATTTGTTGATCAAACCGGTGCAGAGAATTATGAAATACCAGCTGTTACTGAAGGTGAGGACTCGCGGGCGCAGGGTCTGGTGTCGGGAGTTTGTTGGGGGAGGGAAGACGTGGTGAGGGAGGAAAGACAGGATGGGCAGGTGAGGGGAGTCTTTCTGTAAAAAAACATAAAGCAGTCTTGTTATTTCTGAAATTAAATATTTCAGAAGAGTTTTTTTAATTTAATAAGACTCCTTACGCTGTTTTTTCAGTTTTTCATTTACATCAAGTTCAGAATCAAAGTGTCAGTTACAGTAACTCTCCCTCCACCACAGACCTTTGAATACTGACGACTCTTCTTCAGCTCTATTGACCTTCCCTATGCTCTGACCCTCTTGGAGCCTTAGATGACATGAAATTTTCCCTCGCCGCCCATTTGTCTCTGTTGGCTCAGCACAGCTAAAGGCATAGGTACTGTTTCCTGTGATGAATGTGACCAGAGATTTAAGTGCACAGAGATTCTTCTTGCCTGTAAACTGGATATAAAGAGAGACCAAGAGCTTGTTTTGGATGGAAACAAAGCAACCGTTACCTGCTCAGACAGTTTTGCTCTGACTATGCTTTGCTGCAGCTTGAAATCCACCTTTCTCTTGTGTTACTGGGAGGGAAAAAATGAAAAATCAGAACTGAAGCTCTTCAACCAGTGCCTGGCGTGTCAGGAGTGATCAAAAGTGAGCTGCTGCTGTAACGTCACCTGCTCATGTCCTCTCCGTTTCCCTTGCAGGACTTCCTCAAGTATTCCAAAAAAGCTAGCCTGGATACGTCGGAACTAGAGGTACATACGCCCTGCTGGCCTGGCCCAGTCTCCCCCAGGCTGTTTCCGCATGTCTCCGAAGCAGCCTGCTGTCCCCGAAGGGTCTGTCCCTGGGCGGGGTTGCTGCCGTGGGTGGTGGTGGTCTCCCCACCACCTAGACATCCCTCTGCACGTCGGAGGGCAGGAGGGGCAGGAGCTGCACTTGGAGGTGTAGCTGCGGGCTGACCGCTGGCTGCTCTGTCCCCATCCCCAGAGAGCTGTGGAGGTCATGTGCATAGTGCCAAAGCGGTGCAACGACATGATGAACGTCGGGCGGCTGCAAGGATTTGACGTAATGTGCTCTTCTTCTCTACCCTGCCCCTTGGGCTTCCACTGCTGTCCCCTGGGCCGGATTACTTACCCGCATGTGCAGAAAACTGATCCTTTTTTGCTTGGTTTTCTATCTTCTCTCTACTTCAAACTGATATTTTCTTTCAACCCCTTTCGGGTACTTTTGATTTGCTTCTGGAGGACCTCACTCTGCTCTGTCTCCTGGGTTCTCTGCTTCCCAGTGGGTAGGGGAAGCAGAGGGCTCTGTCCGCCCGTCACCCCGGGAGCTTGACCTCAGGGTCCCTGTGTTCATCACTAATCTGACCACCGTTTCTGTGGTTGCTGGATGACTCATGTCACATATTTATTACCTGTTATTGTCCTCAAGATATTTCAGGACCAGCAACGTTTAAAAATTTGTTGAATAAGGACAGGGAAGAAGTTTTACTTTTCTTACCTACGGTTCTTCCTACCTAGAGATTTTGAGCGTAAAGTTCTTTTGCTGTGGTTCTCAAGAAAGCACACGCAGAGCCCCCATAGGGCTTCTGAAAACACAGGTTCTTGCCCGTGCGTCCTGCTGGCGGGTGCCGGTGCCACGGGCACAGAGGCTGCACCTTCAGACCCTGTTCCCCGGTGACCTGGGCACTAGATCCACTTTCAGTCCGTGATGGTCACGGAAGCCAGGGGTTTACACAGAAGTTGGATGGAATTTTAATTAGGTATCAGTTCTGTTTAGATCTAAGAACTCATGAAAATGAAATGTTAAGCTCTATAAATTAATAGAAGAAACAGATATGATTTTGTGGGAGGATATCTAAAGAAAACAGAACTTCCTGTATCCTAACTTAGAATGCAATGTTTTCTCCTCTTCCTCCTTTGCCCCCGTTTCCTGGTTTCAGGGTAAAATTGTTGCCCAGGGCAAGCTGCTCTTACAGGATACATTCTTGGTCACAGACCAGGATGCAGGGCTCCTGCCTCGCTGCAGAGAGCGGCGGGTCTTCCTCTTTGAGCAGATCGTCATCTTCAGTGAGCCACTGGATAAAAAGAAGGGCTTCTCCGTGCCAGGATTCCTGTTCAAGAACAGCATCAAGGTGAAGTGTGTTGGCCTGTTTTCTCACGTGCTCGTGTGCGTACCCATCACACTGACGGACTGTCTCCTCTTTAATATCAACATGTCCTGATGCTTTGTTCATTGAGTACTTGACATTTCAGAACCTTTAAGTTCACTCCAGCCATCTATTGTCTGTGCTCTTCACAGCACAAAGTATGCCGGTTTCAGCGTTGACATAGGCTAAATGTTACTTTGCTCCTGACCAATAGAAATAAATATGCTTTATTTTTCTATTGTAAAATACACATAACGTAAAATACACCGCCTCACTGGTTTTAAAATACACAGCGCAGTGGCATTAGGTGCCCTCACTGTGGCGCGCCGCCGCCAACGTCCCCGTTCAGGACTCTTCATCTCGCAGACTGAAGCTCTGTGCCCCTGAGGCACGAAGTCCCCTTTCCACCTCACCCCGCCCTGGGCAGCAACCACCCTCTCTGTCTCTGGATTCGACTGCTCTGGGGACTGGCTCTAAGTGGGATCACAGCAGTGTCTGTCTTTTCGGACTGGCTTTTTTTACTTGGCCTATGTGCTCGAGGTGCGTCCACAAGGTGATGCAGCAAAGTGCCCTTCCTTTTTAATAATTGAAAAAACCTTTTCTGCTGACCGGGGATCAAACCCACAACCTTGGCACATCAGGACGACACCAACCCACTGAGCCGGCCGGCCAGGGCTGTCCTTCCTTTTTGAGACTGAATAAGTTCCATTGTGTGGATAGGCCAGATTTCATTTATCAACACTCATCTCCCACCCTTTGGCCATTGAAATCATGCTTTAATATTTTTCAGGTGAGTTGCCTCTGCCTAGAGGAAAACGTGGAAAACGATCCCTGTAAATTCGCCCTGACGTCAAGGACAGGTGACGTGGTGGAGACCTTCATTTTGCATTCGTCCAGTCCAAGTGTCCGGCAGACATGGATCCATGAAATCAACCAGATTTTAGAAAACCAGCGCAATTTTTTAAATGGTAATTTGTGTCCGTTACCGGGCGTGTGTTGTCTGTCCACAACGCACACATGGCTGTTCTTCTCGTCTCTCCCACCACGTGGGAGTCACAACGACGGGTCAGGCACTGCTCTCAGCACCGGCCATCTATGGTATCATTCCCTCTGCACAGCGACTCTGTGGGACCAGTTCTCCTATTGTTCCCATTTCATAGACGAGGAAACTGAGGCACGGAGTAAGTGGAGTAGTAATTTACCCAAAGTCCCACAGATTGGTGGCGGCACAGTCAGGATTCCAAGCAGACTGCCTGGCTCTCGGACATGGCCCTGCACTGCTGCCCTGTTTCACCCTGTCCCACGTGGTCTCTCACACCATATGTGCACCAGAGCCCCGTCTGGGGACGGCCGTGCCTGAGGAAGCTTTTGGCAGCAGGTGGAACTGGGATGTCCTCAAGTGCCACTGTGAAGTCTGTGTTCAGTGGCACCACACATGTACCCCTCCCTGCACCATTAGAAAACAAGACATGTCCTGTCCCCCCAGCCTCCATGACGAGTTGTTACAGAGGAGCAACGGGCCTTCATTGCAGATAATTATTGTGGCTTTATATTTGTGACCTGAAACTGCTTGCTTCTTTTTGTCACTGCTGACTTCCATTCTGCTTTCAATTCGGTGATCACTGAAGAACTTCAAGAATTTGGTCAGAAGTTAAAATACTTACTAATGGCTTTTCTTCGTCCTTTTCTCCATGTTCATGGTCCGTGTCTGCCCCAGTCCAACAGGACGTTGTAACTGCTCTGTCACCACAAAACCGCCTTTCCACCTTGCACGACACTCAAGGGCCTCAGTGAGAAATGAGTTGCCTGGATGTTAACTCCAAGGCCCTGTCCAGGTCACAGACAGATCTTATTTTATGTTTGATGTTAGAATTAGATACATGGGGTTCAGGGACAGCGGTTCCTGTGCACACAGAAAAACGTTTCACTGTGTGGCAGTAAACAAAGGCAGCGAGGCCTCTTTTAATGTGTTGTTCTCAAGTGTTGTATTAAATGCCAATCTGTAGTGTGTGACTATTGGGAAATCTCTAAACTTTTACCTTCTTCTTTAAAGTAAAATGAACTGCCTCCAAATCGCTAGCATGAGTCAGCCAGGCTGCTGTAGTTCCCTAGTCCCCAGTCTAGGTAGGATAATAGCAGTATCGGAGGATTGGACAAGGTCAGGAGTGGAGCAGCAGCCCGGGGCAGGTCGCCACACCTATGCTCCCCTCCACCTCCATTCCTGAGAGAGACCAGGGCCGATGCAGAGTTTGTGAAATGTCATTTGGCTCCAGGATGCTTTTTCACACGTGCCTGATGGCTCCCAGGCAGAAAGGGGCTGTGTCTGATTGTCTTTCTCAAAGGTTTTTGCACCTTAAGTGTTTGTGTTAGTGTTTCCATGTATCTCACTTGGCATGTTTCCTGAGGTTCCCTGCAGACAGTTGTGTAACAAATTAAATCACTATAGCTGAGACAGCTTCATGACCCAGAAGGGAGTGTGTGGAGTGCTTTTCTACCCCTTGTCTCTGGTGTCCAGTCTGCAAAACAGAGGTGGCCCAGACCCCTGCCTCCTCCCTGGTGACCAGGGAATTCCTCAGCTCCTAGCCAGCTTCTCTTTGCAGCAGCTGGAGTAAACTTCCCCCACGCGGGAGCCAGCTGGTGCTGGTGGAGTCCCAGTGGAGAATCCTGGCAGCACAGGGACTCCCTTGACATTGGCGGTTTGCCTAGGACCTCCAGCCAACTCGACTCCTTTCCACTTGGCGGGGATGCTAAGGCTCTACTTGCTGCTCTGAGGCAGTGAACGTCTCCCTCGCCCTTGTCCTCCTTCACTCTGTCCTTCTGCCCCCTTGGCCTTCTCCTGCCCCCTGCCCACTTACACATGCCCACTGCCCTCCATTGAGTCCATTTAACTTGTTCTTGGACTGGACGGTAGCATTTGAAGACCTTTTCCTTTACTGCTGGCTGGTGTCAGTCTGTTGCAGCCAGGTAGGTGGCTGTTTGGAGGTTCGAAGGCAACTGTGACGGATTACCCTAGGACAACTCGGGGAGTTCATGTCCAACACTCCTTTTGGATCACACCACGTTCTTTTTGTTTTGCCCGTGACCATCGTTTCCTCAGCGCCCTGATTCTCTTCTGTGTCTTGCCTATTTTACAGCCTTGACATCACCAATCGAGTATCAGAGGAACCACAGTGGGGGCAGTGCAGGTGGGGGCAGTGGAGGTGCGACCCCCGGTGGCGGCAGCAGTGGTGGCAACCACAGCAGTGGCCCCAGCAGCTGCAGTGGCCTCCCCAGCTCCAGCAGAAGCAGACCCTCCCGGATCCCCCAGCCTGTCCGACACCACTCCCCCGTGCTGGTCTCCTCTGCAGCCTCAAGCCAGGCAGAGGCAGACAAGATGTCAGGTACGTCCACTCCCGGCCCTTCACTGCCTCCTCCCAGCAGCAGCCTCACTCTGGAGGCTGGCCCCGGCCAGCCGGGCAGGCATGCCCCCGGCGGCCAGTCTGAGGGTCCTGAGAGAGAAGCGGAGCAGATCCCCAAGATGAAGGTGATTGACAGCCCCAGGAAGTCTGCGGGGAACACGGCAGGTGCCAGCCAGGACGGAAATGCCAAGGAAGACAGCCGCTCACGAAGCGGCCTGGGCTCCCTGCCCCTGGGAAAGCCCAGGCCCGGGGCTATCTCGCCGCTGAACTCTCCTCTCTCCACCACATTCCCTTCTCCACTGGGCAAGGAGCCCTTTGCCCCCAGCAGCCCCCTGCAGAAGGGGGGCTCCTTCTGGAGCTCCATTCCGGCCTCCCCTGCCAGCCGGCCAGGCTCCTTCACCTTCCCGGGAGACAGTGACTCCCTCCAGCGGCAGGCGCACCGCCACGCAGCCCCCAGCAAGGACACGGACCGCATGAGCACGTGCTCCTCGGCCAGCGAGCAGTCCGTGCAGTCTGCCCAGAGCAATGGGGTAAGAACGCCCGGCAGCCTCCGCCCGTCCGCCCCACCGCCTCTGTCCCGCCAGCTCCTCTAAACCTCGCGCCACTGCCGCTCTCCTCGTACTAACTCCTGGCTCTCCGTGCCGCGCCGCAGTAACCAGCTCCTCCGGGCCTCCGTCCGCGCACGGACCACGTGGACCATGTGTGCGCGCGTCCGCGGTCTGCAGGCCTGGACGTGCCGCGGCCCCGCCGACACAGGAGAGTCTCCTAACTCCTCCTGCTCCGGGGACAGCGCTGCTCTCATCTCTACTAACTCGCTCTTTGCTTTGTTTGTGTCTCCTAACCTGGGGAAGCCGGTCGTTAACCTTTAGAATGCAGCATCTGTAAGTCTTCTCCGTGTCCGCCCAGTAGACTGTCTTGGAACTTTCTTTTTGCCCCTGCCTTCCTCACTCACGTTTTTTTAGAGGGGTCAGTGTCCCTGCTGCCTCCCTCCTATTTAGTTTGAAACCTACATTTGATAAGCTTGTTGCTCGTCGCTTGGTCGTGCTTTTTTATGCCTTAAATTGTCCTTGCAGCATTTTTGACTCACCTGCTGAAAAAAAAAATTCCTCAAGAAAACTTCCAACAGCTACTCAGAGCAAACTAAACTGACAATATAGGGGGGGCAGGAATCTCTCCAGTGAAAATATTTGCTCCCCCCACAGTTTCACTCTGGAAGAGAGAGACTGCTTTAAGGGCTTCTGGAGATGGGGCTTCTGGAGATGGGTCTCCTGCCAGCGGCTGGGAGCAGAGGCCCAGGAAGCTGGAGTGGGAGCGTGTCTGCATTCCGTCCAGCAGGGGGCGCGGTGCGGACTGCAGCGCTCCACGCATCCTTACCCTCGTTTTTCCCGACACCTGGGTTGTGATCTCAAGCAGGAGGGTTGCTGCGATGGGCTTTCCTCCCATTCTGTGGCCTCCTCACTCTTCCACCCAACTGTTGTCCTCCACGGTAGATGGTCTGACCCATAACACCTTCCTGAAGGCATGCGTGAGGAAATACAACTGTTCTAATGAGTGTATGTGTGATTGCTTTATAAAATTTTAAATACATTTCCCTAAAAGGGTCTGTGTCTCTCTTTATAAAAAAAAAAATGTCTTTTGCATGTCTTTCTCTCTCCGGACTTCTCTTAATTCCTTCTTTGGGTTGACATGGCCTTATCCTTTACTCCTATTGTTTCTTATATGTTGTTAAACTCTACATTTAATTGAGGAAGAAATTAGGAGATGGGTCTTGGCACATTTATTTGCCCTGAGTCTTATTCTCAAAAGCAGGCAGTTGAACAGGCACCCCCTGCAGTGGCCGTCGCCAGTGGCCGTGGGGTGGGTGCCGTCCCGTGTCCTGCAGACTGGTCTGGCCCCTTTGTTAGGCCTGCAGTGCTGGTATGCGCGTGAGCATCAGCGCTCCATTCCAGCCAGAGGAGAAGATGCAGAGGGCCCAGTGGCCAGGCCTGTCTCCCAGATGGGAGCTCGTCCTAACCCGGACACGTTTCCCAAGGAGTGTTCAGAGTTGGTGTTTCAAAATGGACACCCAGCTACTCCAGCCCAGGAGCCCCTGCTGGACTCTCGGCGCCTGTGAGCGCACACGGCATAACGGCCATCTCCCCCCCCCCCCGACTCCCCCCCCATGTCCACTGAGACAAAGGCACAGTCACCTGTGGTGCATAATCCAGCAATTTTAGGTTGCGAAATTTACCTCGTCTTTCTGTTTCTCACTTTTTCTTATGTGGCAGGTAACCAGGAAATTGCCAGAGTGTTTGATGGGTCAGAGTGACCTACAGGAATGCCCTAGATGCCTGGGAAGACCACTAGAGGCCTCAGATGGGGATCTGGCCTCTGGACTCTGAGTATTTCAGTTAAAAGGAACTGTTGCCCTGCCCTGTTCCCACCCACTTGGGCCACCTTATCCCCTGGCTGGTCGGTCAGCAGCGGCCTCCTTCCTCCTGACCACTTCCGTGGAGCCGTCTGCAATCACAGTCAGGCAGCTATGCCTAACCTACATCCCAGGTCCTTCCTCGTTTCTCTGGGCACCTTCTGGAGAGTGACAGAGAGCGGGAGTGGAGTGGATGTGGGTCGACCCAAATGGTGACTGTGCCAGTCCCCAGACATGGGCACACAACCCCCTGCACACGCCCACCTGGGCAGCACTGAAAGTGTAGCCCTGCCTTTCTCTCCGAGGCCTGGTGGCCCGTGCAGATTCCTAACCTCCCGCCCTGTAGGGGAGAGGACCCTGGGGTGGTTGTGAGCATCAGATGACATAGATTTTAGATGTCTTTATACTTTGGTACGTAGGAAGAATTTCTAAAATAGCTACTATGATTGTGGAAAATAGCCAAATCACGAGATACAGCCTGGTATGCTACGTTACCAAAAGCAGGTGTGCCAGAAGTTGCCTTCTGTTTGTTTTTTAGCAAATTTGATTTTGTAATCTCAAAGCTATTGGGTGTTGCTGGATAAGGTGAACTACTAACATACACGCTGTAAGGATAAGACTGTGTAAATGAGTGTGCGGGTGCCAAAGCCCCACAGGGGCTTCCACAAAGGGCAGGAATGCACAGGTGTCCCCAATGAGACAGGAATGACGGCTCGGCCCCCTGGTGTGTTTAACTTCAACACCACTGCCGGTCTCGGTTCAGAGCCTGGCCTACGGATTCGAAATGCGCCAACTTGGCATTGGTCCACCTCTGCCCCAGCACGTACTCACACCAGTCCAGCAGCCCAGGGTGGACAGACACTTGGCAGTGTTGTCTGACGGTCACGTCTACACCTGTCCCAGGTGTCTGAGAGCCGGCAGAGGCTGGCGTCATCAGGGTCCTGGTGACCTGGGAATGTCTGGACAGCACCTTGGGTGGAAGCCTCTGAGAGCGAGTGGAAGCAGGGCATCTGCTGCCATTCCCTACATCCTGGCTGTTGATAGAGGGGATCAGGCAAGATGCACCTTAGGGTTGGGCGGTGGTCTCTGCTTCCTCCCCTCTCCCTCCTCCTCCTCCTTCTCTAAAACAAATAGGTCACTTGGTAAATGATACCTTGGGACAAATACTGCCATTTGTGTTGTTCTACTCTCCAGCTAGTAGTACTTGGCTGTGGGCCCGGGGAGGTGGCCTTAGAAATGATCTGTTTCACATTTGTAATCTTACCCCGTTGAACTGCATTACTCGATGGTTCCCTGCATTACTGAACATGTATTGAGTGACCATTATATGCCCGTCGCTGTGTTGGGCACTGCAGAACCTGTAGTGTACCACTGGGGCTGCAGGTTAAGTGTGGCGTGGGCTTTCACTTGGAAGAGTCTGTCCTTGAAGCTTCAGTCTCAGGGCCAGTGGTGGTCAAAGGTCCTCTGTGATGATGTGAGATGTGTTCACACAGCCACAGTGCCTTTGGGACGCTTCTATCAGCAAGCTCCCAAGAAGGTCACCCACCAAGGGACACGAGGAGGCAGAGCAGCTATCCCTGAGAGCAGAATCGCAGTTGATAAACCTTTTTAAGTATCACGCATTCTTTTTTTAGAAGGGAAAAGGAGGTGGAAATGATTTTACCAGCAACTTGGCCGGATCTGGGGGCTCCTCCACGATCTGACCTGTCCGTGGAGCTGAAGGGCTATGGTTCGCAGCTCCTTAATTCAGTAGCTGTTTCAGTGACATGACAGTCGTAGTGGCATTGCTGTGATGTAGGAGGAACCCAGCATGACATGGACACAAGACCCGAGCCGTTCCTGCAACGGTGCAAGGAGGTGGGGCTAAAGTAATGGGGCAGAAATAAAAGCTTCCAAAGTAAAGTGTCCTCATTGCACTGGGGTTTTTTTAGATTGTCCCTAAACTGCTTAAACTCTGGTTTTCGATTATTGAAAAAGCACAAAGTAGCAGAGAGCATGGCGTCCTCCGCGCCCATCCGGGGAGCCTGCTCTGAGTCGCCGTGCCGTGATGCACCCCAGCGAGCGAGTGCCTGTCACCAGCCTCGTTTCAGGCCCCTCTGCCTCTTCTCTCTCCATCTCCCCGCCTGCAGAGTGAAAGTAGCAGCAGTAGCAACATCTCCACCATGTTGGTGACACACGATTACACGGCAGTGAAGGAGGATGAGATCAACGTCTACCAAGGAGAGGTCGTTCAGATCCTGGCCAGCAATCAGCAGAGCATGTTTCTGGTGTTCCGAGCCGCCACCGACCAGTGCCCCGCAGCCGAGGGCTGGATTCCGGGCTTCGTCCTGGGGCACACCAGCACAGTCATCGTGGAGAACCCCGACGGGACCCTCAAGTGAGTGCCCAGTGGGGCGGGTGTGGGGAGGGCCCCGGAGGCTGAAAGGCAGGGAGAGAAAGCGGCGCTCCTCTCTGTGAGCTCAGGGTCCACTCTAAGTACCCTGTGGAGCCCCAGCGTGGAGGCGGCTTCGGTCACTCAGACTTGCTCTGCAGACTCTTCTAAGCCCTGCACTTGGGAACACACAGCAGTTTCCAGCCATTAGAAAGAGTGATGGCATTTTAGTTCCTGGATGTCCAGGGGGCGGGGGCATTCCTACAGGACTTTCCAAGGACCCCTAAGTCATTAACATACATCAGTGAGGATTCTCATTCTGGCCCTGGCTGGTGTGGCTCAGTGGATCGGGTGCCAGCCTGCGAACCAAAGGGTCGCCAGTTTGATTCCCAGTCAGGGCACATGCCTGGGTTTTGTGGGCCAGTCCCCAGTTGGGTGTGTGTGAGAGGCAGCCACACATTGATGTCTCTGTCCCTCTCTTTCGCCCTCCCTTCCCCTCTGTCTAAAAATAAATAAATAAAATCTTTTTTTAAACAAGGTACCCATTCTGTAAGCTGCAGGTAAAGATATAAGGTAACTTATATTTACTGGAAGGTTAGTTTAGTTAAGAAACTTGAAAACAATTTTGTTGGCACTAAACGTTACTTTAAAGAACACTGAAGTTGGGTGCTGGGTTCAAAAACTTCCCTTCACCGAATCTCTCCGGCCGTGGTCAAGGTCAGCCGCATGGCTCCCGGGAAGCATTGCGTGACTCGATGGTTTTGGGAGTCTCCAGAGGCGTCAGGAACCCAGACCCACAGTGCATGTGGAGGTCACGGTCCTCCCCAAGCCTGGGTCTGCCCTCGGCTGGGTCTGCAGCCCAGGCTGTGCCTCTGGGTTCAGCTGTGGACCCTCCCCCACACCTTGCAGCGGGGGGCTGGGCTGGAGTTCAGGCTACAGAGAGCCTAGCTCCAGTGACAATCTCTTGTCCTGTTTGTCCTTGGTCTGTGGAAATAACTTTATTCTAGTACATTGTTCAAGAATTTCAGTTTTATGGGTTTTTTCCTCCAAAAATATTCTTGGGCTCTGTATTAGGCTTCTCCAGAGAGAGAGAATCATGTGTGTGTAGAGAGAGAGAGACAAAGAGGTTCATTGTAAGGAACTGGCTCCTGCAATTAGAGAGGCGGGCCAGCAGGCTAGAGACCCAGGGCAGCCCATGGTGGGGGTGAAATCTAAAGGGCATCTGCTAGAGAATGTCTCCCCTTCCCCTTGTTCAACAAGGCTTTTTGTTTTCGTTGGGCCCGTAACTTTGGGTAAGGCCCACCACTGCATGAAGAGTAACTGGCTTTACCACTTAAAATGTTCATCTCACCCAGCCCTGGCTGGTGTGGCCCAGAGGATTGAGCACTGGCCTATGAACCAAAGGGTCGCCAGTTTGATTCCCGGTCAGGGTACGTGCCTGGGTCGCAGGCCAGGTTCCCGGTTGGTAGTGTGGCAACCAATTGATGATTCTCTCACACACTGATATCTGTCTTTCTCTCTGTCTCCATCCTTTCCCTTCTCTCTGAAAATAATAAATTAAATCTTAAAAAAAATAAAATGTTAATCTCATCCAGAAATACCCGGAATAATGTTTGACCAAACCTCTGAGCACCCAGTGGCCCAGCCAGGTTGACAACTGAGGTCAGCCGTCACAGGTACCTTGTGTTTTCCCTCCAAATCTGACTTAAGAGCGTGTTGGCTTCATGTCCCGGTCACTGAGACTCACGGGAGAGTGTTCTCAGCAAAGAGCACTGCCGGGAAGTTGTCTCCCCCACCCTGTGTCTGCGTGAGTTGCAGAGTCCTCTTTCTCCAGCACTTTCCGGAATCATTTGCTGAACACTGGAAAGGCAGGATATTAACAACACATTAACTTCCCCTAGGAAGTCAACATCTTGGCACACAGCACTCCGTTTAAGGAAAAAATCTGAGAAAAAAGATAAAGACGGCAAACGGGAAGGCAAGTTAGAGAACGGTTATAGGAAATCTCGGGAAGGCCTCAGCAACAAGGTATCTGCGAAGGTGAGTTCAGGTGTCTCCAGGAAGCGGTGGCGGGAGGGGCTGATGCTGACATAAGAGCATCGTGGAGGGTGGTGCACCCTAGGCCAGGGGCCCCGGCCACTGGCAGCGGGTCCTGCCAGGCTTCGCAGAGGGCTCTCGGGGCAGTGTGGGCTGGCATCGGTATGCGGATGTATTCTAAGGAACCAGGCATACGTGCGGCGGACACCTCGCCAGGTGCATGCCTGGCTTTTACAGAAACACACTGTCGGGTCCCCAGAAGAAGCCGAGACTGGATCCTGGGGGGCAGTGACTAGATGCTGGCATCCAGGTTCCGTGGCGCAAACCCCCCGGCTCCAGTAGTTTTACTCTGTCATCAGATTGCCTTCCACCTGTGGGGGATTTGCCTGGAGAAAAAGAAAGTGATCCCCGATGGGGGTCCAGGGACCCTGGGTCCGGACACGGGCCGTCCTGCAGAAGCAAGGCCCAGGCACAGCTGGACTCAGCTCGGAGGAGGAGAAAGATGGACGTCTCCGAGTCCATCTCTAAGCAGTGCTTTTGTGTTTTAAATTCATCCCAGTTCTTGTGGCAGGAAGCTTCAAGTGTGTTTAAAGGAGTGAAAATGTCAATTGTGAACGAAACCTGGCAAACCAAATTGTATTTCTGCTCATCTTTCAGTGATCATTGTGGCCTTGGAATGAAAGTGATGTATCTCAAAATAGCCCTGTTTTTGGTTAATACCGGTGTGTTTTTTCCCTTTCAGCTTCTTAATCCCAACTATATGTATGACGGTGAGTGCCGTTTTCTCTTTCTTCTGGTCTCATAGGTTGCGGGTCTGGGGGTGAGTCGCAGAACACTCAAGTGTGACCTCAGGGAACTGGCTCCCTGGGGCTCAGGGCTCAGGCAGGAGCTGAGGTCCTGCTCCTTTGTTTGGGAGTCACAGGCGGGTGTGACGGGAAGCCCAGAGATCCAGCAACACTGACCCCTTTCTCGTGCAGTTCCCCCAGAATTCGTCATTCCCTTGAGTGAGGTCACATGCGAGACAGGGGAGACCGTTGTTCTTAGATGTCGAGTTTGTGGACGCCCGAGGGCCTCGGTCACCTGGAAAGGCCCTGAACACAACACCCTGAGCAACGATGGCCACTACAGCGTTTCCTACAGGTGAGCGAGGCTCGCCTGTGGGCTGGTGTCCCGGGCCGGTTTTACTGTGGCTGGCGTCACTGAGGCCCAGGGTCACCTTTCTCACTGGGACGCCTCCCAGGAGGGAACATTTTGTTACCTGGGTGTGCGGTTAAAATTAAAGCTCCACTTGAAATTCCTCATCAGGCCTTGAGCCCCTGCTTTTCTGTGACCCTGAAGGAGAGAGGTAGGGGGCAGCCCTTCTGACACACGTGTTCTCATCTGTGCATCAGTGACTTGGGAGAGGCCGCTCTGAAGATCGTCGGCGTGACCACAGAAGACGACGGCATCTACACGTGCATCGCTGTGAATGACATGGGTTCAGCCTCGTGCTCGGCCAGTCTGAGGGTTCTAGGTAAGCTGCACTGCTGAGCTGGAATCTCAAGTCCAGAATCCCTCCTCCCACAACACGGCCAGAGAAATACGGCCGTGTGTCCCTGCGGGCCTTCCAAACAAGAGCTGTGAGTAGCAGGCCACAGTCTGGGTTGTCGGGAGGTGGTTGACCTTGGGGCACCTCGGCCCGTGGCCACTGGGCACTTGAGCTTCTGGGTTAGAACAAGGTGTGTTCTGTGCTCTGAGTCATCAAAACACATCCTTGTACCCAGTTTCTCTTCAATCTAGTCGTCCAGTAGACGCTTTAGCGCTAAGAGAATCTGATGTCAGTTGGTCTCGTGGAACGTGAATGAGAAGGAAACGAGGGAACGTGGTTGGAGCTTGTGCGGGCTCTGTGCCTGTCTCGGACCCTGACAAAGGCCCGTCTGGTGGGTGGGTGCTCCTGTCCCTTCCATGAGCTCAAGGCCACCTCGATGGGATCCAGGTCTCTGGCCTGAACCCCTGTTCTCTCCATGGGCCAGCAAGGCCTCGTTCTCTCTCCTCACTGAACTGTGAGCTGTGGATGGCAGAAGCCACGTCGTAAGCCTTTTAAATTTCCCAGTGGTTTCACACAACACATAGAGACACTCGGTAGCCACAGGTATTGATTGACCTCCAACTGCCATCTCATTCACGGCCAGCTGTTCAGTGGGGGCTGCTGCGATTTCTTCTTTATCCTACAGCTGCGCCAGGTATTGGACACTGCTTCCAAGAACGAGAATAAAGTCCAAACCGAAAGGCTAATGGAATCTGGAGCATCCTGTGTGTAGACAATGAACAGAATTGTCTTAGAACTCTTATTTCACATTATCTTTCTTTAAAATATACTTTATTGACTATGCTATTTCAGTTTTCCAATTTTTTTCTTGCCTTTACTCCCCTCCACCCTGTACTCCCCCTCCCACCAGTATTCCCCACCTCAGTTCATGTCCATGGGTCACACATACAAGTTCTTTGGCTTCTTCATTTCCCGTACTGTTCTTAACCTCCCCGTGTCTATTTTGTACCTACCATTTATGCTGCTTATTCCCTGCACCTTTTCCCCCATTCTCCCCACTCATTCTCCCCACTGATATCCTCCATGTGATCTCCATTTCTGTGATTCTGTTCTTGTTTTAGTTGTTTGCTTAGTATGTTTTTAGGTTCAATTGTTGAGTTGTTCGCTGTCATTTTACTGTTCATATTTTGATCTTATTCTTTTTCTTAGATAGGTCCCTTTAACATTTCGTAAAAGAAGGGCTTGGTAATGCTTTAATCCTAAATATTTCAACCCCATTAAGTCAGAGAGAAAGGAAGAATTCTGATTTGGAGGTTATGGCACAAGAAAGTCTTGAATTTGATAATGAAGATTCCCCAATGTTCTAATTTTTAAAAGATGTCACAGAAATTCTACAGGTGACTTTTTAAAAAACAAATCACAAGTGACCGCTAAGGGGGATATTTTGACACATGGCGAAATGAGTGGTAAAATCACGGAAGTGGACATGTGCGTTCGTTTCTGTCACATAAGTCCCCCTTTGTCCATGCCGAGTCCCAGCGTGCAGTGCTCAGGCGCCTCGGGCAGCTCCTTGTGATGAGCCGCAGATGCCTGGCAGCCTCAGGTGCCTGCCGTGGGGGCCGCACAGCTGTGTGGGCTTGTTCCCCGTGATGTGCCGCGTGCACCACGCTCAGGGCCGGTGCTGCTCTTCTTGCAGGTCCAGGGAGTGACGGGATCATGGTGACCTGGAAAGACAACTTCGATTCCTTCTACAGCGAAGTGGCTGAGCTCGGCAGGTACGGGCCAGGGCCCCTTTCAAGAGAGCAGCGCCCGAGACATAATCCCTGTGAGGTTAGACAATGAAGGTAAACGGTGCGTTTGCCAGCAGGCGGAAGTTACAGGTATTACATTTGCAACGTAGCCTGTAATTGCCATTCAACACTCAATGGTGAGGAAGTAACAGACATTTTCAGCTTAAGTTCTGAAAGAAAATTAAGACCCAGTGCCGTAAGCTGCCACTGATGTAACTCGGTGACTCCCGCTGTGCCCCCAGGGCATGACCCATCCTGGGGGAACTCAGGGAGGAGTCACCTGCCCCTTTCCTATAGGACTTTATTCTCCCCTGGAGTCCAGGGTGAGAAAAGCTGAAGGTGACCCCCCAGATCCAGCTGCACAGGGAGCTGGGAGTGGAGGAGCGGGCACCCGAGCACAGCAGAGGGGGCAGCCTGGGCTCAGACAGTGTCCTCAGGCACCCGGCCCCTTCTGACTGCCCTGCCGCACAGCACCCGTCCACACCTCACGTCACATGCTGTGTGGCAGGAAGGAAGTCAGAAGCATGGCAGCTGAGCTGGTGCCTTTCAAAAATGCTGTCTCCCGGCAGCAGCCCTTTACGCTCAGGTGGCCATGTCGGGGGGTGACTGTCAGGTACCACGCTGCGTGGGGCAGCCACCTCAGAGCAGCAGGGATTTGCCACACCTGCATCAGCTTCTCGATCGGCAGTCGTTCTGTTGGCCTCTCCTGGGCCTCACCCCCATGTTGGGGCCTTGCCCAAGACGTGGTCCCCGGCGCTTTCTTGTGTGGTGGCAAAAGCATTCCAAGACAGCAAGAGAGGAAGCTTTGAGGCCTCTTTAAGTCGGAGCCTCAGAAATCAGCAACCATGCTCCCTCCAAATGCTGCAGGTCAAAACCAGCCCCCACCTGGCCCAGGTTCCAGAAAGGAGAGAGACCCCTCGCGTGTGTGCGTACACACACACGCGCGCGCACACATGCACACACACCCCACAGGAGGGTGAGCAAAGGAGTGTGGCCATCTTAACCCGCCACAGCCTGCCCTGGCCACAGGTTAGTTTCCGTCCCTCAATTTCCCACCCCACCTCCCCACCCCCACATCTCATCCAATCGCGGCAGCAGGCTCAGACCTGAGGTCCGAGATCCTGTTGTCCAGAGCATGTCACGGAGGCTTCTTGGGTGTGGTCCCTGGGGTGCAGCTCCAGAAGCTGCGAACTAGCAATGAGTGACCTGCCCCTGCACACGCACCCTGTGAAGGCGGGATGGCAGTGACACACCTGTTAAAGGTGGGGATGGTGACCGGGAGGCACTGAGTAGTTCCTCCTGAGCTTCACACACGACGGAAATTTCTGCACGAGAGCTGAGGTGGGGTCTGCCCAGCAAGTCTCACTGTGCAGCTACTGCCACACTCAAGGCAGGGGAGTCACAAGGCCTGGCCAGACCCAGGCGAGCGGAGTCTGCCTGGAGGAGGGGGAGAGACCCTCCCGGCTGAGGGGCTCGGACACAGGCGGGCCGCCTCCGGGCTGTCGTGGGGCCCGTGGACAGGCCCAGTTGGGCGGCATCCGGCCACGTGGGCCTTTTCTCTGTGACACTCTCGGAGGCCCGACAGTTCCTCCCAACCCGTGTTCCAGGGGCAGGTTCTCTGTTGTTAAGAAATGTGACCAGAAGGGAACCAAACGAGCGGTGGCCACTAAGTTTGTGAACAAGAAGTTGATGAAGCGTGACCAGGTCACCCACGAGCTTGGAGTCCTGCAGAACATCCAGCACCCACTCCTGGTCAGCCTCCTGGACACCTTCGAGACCCCCACCAGCTACATCCTGGTTTTGGAAATGTGCGTACACCGGTCCTTTCTTTCCCTCTGTGTAACTGTCAGCCTCAGTGTTGAGTGTTTTATTGTTTCATGTAGAAATCGGGATTGTAGGGTTCACAGAACTTCTCAAAAGTATGTCTACGATCAGAGCCCAGTTTCACAACTTCCCAGTACAGCCCTTAGGCACATGCTGTCCCACACGGGAGCAGCAAGCCTGGCGTCACCATCCAGGCTCCTGCTCGGTCTCTGCCAACCCGCAGGTGCTACCTGGTCCCCACAGGTCCTGAGAATTCTGCCTGGTCCTGGTTGTTGTGGGGCTGAAATGATGTCCAAGCAGGGACCTGGCTTCTGCGGGCCTTCAGTACCTGGCTGGGTCCTTTCCAGCTTTAGGAGCTTGATGACTGAGAAGTGCCCATCTTCTCTGGGGATGCATGTGTGACTGGCCCAGAGTCCTCGCTGAAAGCCTACAAGACCTCCGTTTCTGGTTTAGAGGCTTTAGTGTGTTGGGCCATCGTTTCTCTTCGCTGGGAAACTGAATGTTTTGGCCTCATTATAGTGTTACTAGGATTTATTCCATAACAAATTACTCTCGATTACTCCCCATTGTCAGTCAAGTGGCTGATCTTCCTACAAGTTTCTGTTTTGCAAACAAAGAGGGCATCATAGACCAGTGGTCAGAAAAGCCAGGGCCAGACTACCTCATTGCAGTTCCAGCCTTCACTTACGAGCTGTGTGACCTTGGAGAAGTTATATACCTTCTCTGGGCCTCAGTTTCCTCATCCACAAAATGGGAAAATAAAACACTCTTCTTAGAAAATTATGTGAATCCATAGAAGGTATTTAGTCCCCAGCATACAGACATCTGTGTTTAAGTGTTTTTTATTTGTTATTTTTTAAACTTTTGTGTGTGTATGTTTTTCAAATATTAAAAGTAAGTCTATAGCAGGAAGACCGTGGAGACAAGCATGCAGCCCTTAACTGTAGTGCCTTATTGTCTGCCTCCACTTCTATTGCCTGTACAACCTTCCCATTCCCCGTTCTGCAGTCACAGAACTACAGCTCAGGGTTTGGATGGAGCAGCTGGGCAGGCGCCTCTGCTTCCCTCTAAGGGTTGGATGGCCCTGTCCCCCGCCACACACACACACACACACACACACACACACACAGGCGCGCGCACGCGCATCAGCACCATGCTATTAACAAGAAACCACCTTCTCGATGCAGTTGCACCTTCAGGTGGAACAGAATCTTCAAATGCCAACAGAGTATTAGCAGTGGGGCCCAGAGAAGGCGCGTCTGTTTTGAATGAGCCCAGAGAGGTCTCTAAAGTGAACCAGCACCACAGTGACAGGTGTGCGCTTTCCTTTTTCCGCAGGGCTGACCAGGGGCGTCTCCTCGACTGTGTGGTGCGATGGGGAAACCTCACCGAAGGGAAAATCAGAGCGTATATGGGGGAGGTTCTGGAAGCCATCCGATACCTTCACAACTGCAGGATAGCACACCTGGACCTGAAGGTGAGTGGGGCTCCCCGGACAGCAACATACGTGACCACGGCTCGGCCACGGTGTATGGGGGTCTGCCCTCCACTTGTCCTCTGAATCCAGGCCACGTGCCGCAAGAGGGGCTGGGGACAAATGTGAGAAGGTGGGAAATGGGAATACCGATTTCCAAACTCTTGCTTTTAAGAGCTTGCTTTTGGTAATGTGAGATCTTCACACATTTCATGGGATTTCAGAAGGTTCTAGAAGTTTTGCTGGGCTGGTGGGCTGATTTGGCGTGAATGGAGAAAGGAAGGGAGAGTGTTGCCCTTGGTGCTGGGAGGGAAAATGACCGCCCAGCGTCATGAGCCGGGGCATGGAAGGCACTGCCTTACGCTGACCCCCCGAAAGATCAGCGGCTCCTGTGCATTGCTGCGTTTTCCTCCTTCGTGGGCCTGCGAGCCACGCGTTTCACCCTGTTTTGCACGTGAACAGTTTATTCCAGCCGACCTCACAGGTTCCAGTGAGCATCACGCTTAAGCTTAAGGCTGGGGTTGATGAAGGTGACAGTTGCCTTATCCTGTCTTCCAGCCCGAAAACATCCTGGTGGACCAGAGTTCAGCCAAGCCCACAATTAAACTGGCCGACTTCGGAGATGCTGTCCAACTCAACACGACCTACTACATCCACCAGCTCCTGGGGAACCCTGAATTTGCAGCCCCCGAAATCATCCTGGGGAACCCGGTCTCCCTGACCTCGGACACGTGGAGTGTTGGAGTGCTCACATATGTGCTTCTCAGCGGCGTGTCCCCCTTCCTGGACGACAGCGTGGAAGAGACCTGCGTGAACATTTGCCGACTGGACTTTAGCTTCCCAGATGACTACTTTAAAGGAGTGAGCCAGAAGGCCAAGGATTTCGTGTGTTTCCTCCTGCAAGAGGACCCCGCCAAGCGTCCCTCGGCTGCGCTGGCCCTCCAGGAGCAGTGGCTGCAGGCGGGCCACGGCGACGGCAAAGGCGCAGGCGTCCTGGACACGTCCAGACTGACCTCCTTCATTGAGCGGCGTAAACACCAGAACGATGTTCGACCGATTCGTAGCATTAAAAACTTCCTACAGAGCAGGCTTCTGCCCAGGGTTTGACCTGTCTTGAAGTTCTTTCTCATTCTCTTTCACCTGCCAATCAGCTGTTCATTTGAATTTTGAAGAGAGACACAAACCAACATAACTGCTCAGCTGCCGTATGTTCATCGTGTGGAACTCGCACTCCGAGCGAGCGAGCGAGCCATGCTCGGCGGCGCTCGGGGCTCGGGCTGCCAGCCGTGCTGGGGTGGAGGACCTTCTCTTGCACTCTGAGAGCGGAGACAGCATTGCTGTGTCACAGTCTTTCATTCAGGTTTCTGCAAAAAAGAAAAAGAAACTTTTTTTAAACGAACTCAAATAGAATTTTGCAAATTTATCATTTTCCAAGACTTATTCAAGGAAACAAAATGCCTATGTTCAACCACTGGTGTTAACGAACAAAACAGAGACTGGGCACCTCTGGGGAAGACTCCCCGCCCCGTGGCGGCCAGCCCTGCAGCCCGGGCTGGAGCTCAGCCTCCGCCCAGCTCTGAGCTTTTCTAGCTGCCCGGTCTGTGCACGTCTCTCTGGGATGCCCGACTAGGCTTCTGACACGTGCATTCAACCTCAAACCTTTGCGTAAAAAATAGAATGAATTGTTTTGCTCTGATGAAATGTAGGCCTTACTTGTACATAAGACTGGTCCTGCCTTCGGTCTGCCCTTCTCCCACCCGCCTTTTCTCCCACGCCCGGCCCTCTGCCTGGGGCCCCCGTTGGGGGTCAGCGGGTTCTACCCATCACCAAGGACATCAGGCCGGGCCCTGCCCCGCCGCCCCCACCCCCAAGCCGTCAATCAGATTGTTGAGCAGTACACAGTCAGATGAAAATACTGTAAATGCACTCATTGGGGGGTTTTTTGGTTTTATTTCATATCATGTGCAATGTTGTGGCTTTAACATTTTATGCAACTATTTATGAAGACCTCTGTTGTACCTGTAATAAATATATAGAAAAAGCACATACTTCGTATGGTGAGCTTTATGGTTTTGTGTGTGTGTCGGGTTGGGGTGAGGGGTGGGGGGGTCATAGCCCGGTGCCATCCATTCAAGGAGACTTAACTCTTCGTGAAAGTGGTCAGTTTTGAGGACTGTAAAAAGAGATTTCATACTCTGAATATAAAACTGGACAATAGGGTGATGTTTTAAATTTTATTATGCTATTATTCAGAATGCCAAAGTATTATTTTTTTTTTCCCAAAACCAGTCTGGACATTTACTACTTTTTAGACTTTTTTGACATTCAACTTTCTGTATAAAAATTGGCTAGCCTTCGAGCTATTGGTGAGAAATCAAAGCCAATTTCAGCACTCCCAGCCTCGAGGCTGGCGCCCCCTGGCTGACTCACTGTGGCAGAGTCACGCTGGTGAGGGGTGGCCTTCCACAAAAGACGCTGGGTTTCTGGGCACGCTTGAATATTTCCGGGTGTCTTTTTATCTTTGTTGTGTGAAATACACTCACACAGAGGCCAGCTGCTTCCCAAGCCAGCCAGACACCTGGGTCTTGAGCCATAAATTGGCGTAGTTAACACTTGCAGCTTCCAATGTATTTTATTTATTCTTTGGTTGGGTTTTGTTTGTTTCTTGTAAAATTGTACAGAAACTTTTTAAAAGAAATTGGATTCAAAACTGGATGTGTATGCGTAACCTCACAACTTTTATTTGTGTATTGTTTCTTTTATCATTTCAGTTAAATTTTTACATTATTTTGCATGTATATTTCTTTGTACAGAGACCTTACATGTTTACACAGTATGATGTGATGTAAATATTTTATTTTGCCATCAGTTATTTTAAAAAATTAAACATATTTGCCTGATTTTTGTGTTAGGCCTTTTATTTAAATTGGTCATTATTGAATCAAACAGAGAGATCACTGAAGGGTGGGTCCCTCATGGGTCAGGGAGGGGGACTGCAGGACAGAGTGTCCCAGACTGGGAATCTGCCGAATTCCACCAGACTGGTTCACAGAACCAGAACACGGGTGTGCAAACCACAATGCTAGCCGTTTGCCATGGGGCTACCCCTTGTCCCGGTTAGAAATATCTAAGGCACCCTGTTTCTTGGTGGATGTAGTCAGAGCAGAGGAAAGAGCTGTTGCATCCCAAAGTTAACCCCATCCCGATGGGGTGAAGAAAATGAAGCACCTAGGTTCAAGCACCAGTGTTGCAAGCAAACTGAAGATCCTGCCTCTGAGAAGAACCGCCCAGCTCCACCCCGAGTGGGGATCACCTTGTCCTGGGGGACTTGGAGAGCAGGATTCATTTTTCGTCTGTTTGCTGAAACCCTGAAGGTGAGACAAGCGTGAAAGGACAGCATTTGCCCTGAAACCCTGAGTCAGCAAGAGAGATGCTCTGCCTGAGGTGGCACCTCCTCTAAGTCCCAGGGACGTGGATGGCTCCATGGGCTCTGGAGGGACAGAAATGTAAGGTAGGTGTTAACCCCTGCAGCAGCACGCAAGTGGGGTCTCAGGCCGCAGAATGTCACATGGCCACCACAATTTATAAGAAGTTATAAGCATCATCTTACAGCAAACATTAATCCAAAGGATATTACACCACTGGGAGGAAAAGTGCTTTCAGCTGTGCATTTGTGAAACTCAATTTGGAGGACAAGAAATAATGTGTGGGACTAAAAGGATGCTCTGAGTTGATTGTGTGTGGGGGGTGTGTGTGTGTGTGCAACTTACAAAAGAATAAAGTACACAAATCTTAAGTATATAACTCAATACATTTGTATACATGTATTTACCTGTGATCATTGCCCAAAGCAAAATACAGGTGGAAGTGCATTAAATTTGTATATTCGGGGAGAGTCAATATTTTTTACTATGTCAAGTGTTCCAGTCCATAAATACGATACAGAAATGTAGGCTCCCCACGTAATCCCACTCACAGCAATGGGGCACCCAGGTGTTTGGGCGGCCCGTGACAACCTGGTGGCAATGCAGGCTCCCCGCTCAGTCCTTGCTGGTGGGGTAGAGGTGAGAGCCGCTGCAGCTTTCTGCCGTGTCTGGCTAGAGGAGCAGTCACTGTGTAAAGGTTTTCCGTACTGCAAGGTTGCCCCTTTCCTGGTCCTTTGTCTGGGGAGAGCAGGGTTTGGTTTGAGCTTCTGTTATCTGAAGCCGTTGGCAATTCCACTGGGATAGGAAATGTCTCCGTGCCCCAGCTTCCCAGACCTGCATCTCTTGTCAGTTGTTGGTTTGGGATTCTGTGACGCTGGTCTCCAGATGGGCACAAAACAGCCACTTAAACTTAACTTACAAAGGGACCAGTTTTCTCAGTTATAAAAGGGGGAACTATACACCAGCATTTGAGTTCATCAGAAGTTTAAGTGTGTTGTGCATTTTACTGCCCTGTACTTTTCTGCTGATTCACCTCTTTTTGAAATCTCACTTAACTACCAGCACTAGTATCCCACTCCTATTTCACGATAACCAGACAGAATATCCAGGGAAGGATAACTGGCAAGAGAAGGTGAGTAAGGCTTGGCCAGGTACCGAGCAGGAACGGTCCAGTCCAGCCCTGGCTGCTTGCTCACAGCTGTGCACGGTGCGGGGCTGGAGGGGATGCAAAGGCCAGCTGGCCTCTCAAGAAGTGGCTGGAGAAAAATATTGACTTGGGAAACTTCTAGAAGGGGAAATGCAATGAATTGTCCAGTAGAAATTCTGAAGGAACAAAAGAAAAGAACGCACTGGGGCATGAAGGGAGAGCAGAGTTTCAGACCCCAGGATGGATCCCAGAGTCTGATTGCTCTGGCGACCGTGAGGGGGCAGGAAAGGGGGGCGCGGTTCTGGTGTCATTTGAGGTGGCAGCATGTTTGCTTCCTCGTGTCTCTTTCTTCCACTGGCAACTTACTCACAATTCAACATTTTTTAGGGGTTTTCCTTTCGCTGTGTGGCTCCCTTTTGTTGAAATCCCAGTTCAGGGGCATCACTCCTGCATTTACAGGACCCTTTTCCTGCCTCTCTCAGAGTACAGGAAAGTTTCCGAAGGGTGTGCATGGCTGAGTCCCTTACAAAATCCAAGAAAAGTTCAAAGTTTAAAACTAATTTTCTCATTTACGGTTACCGCTTGTAGAAAGCATGCATCTCTGCTCCGTTCTTTAACTTTAAAGCCTCTTTTACACCACGTGTCGGGTGCCAGGGGGGTGCTAGCCATATTCGGGGGGTGGGGAGCAGGGCTCACTTTAGAAGTTATGTACACAACAGTGTAGCCACTATACTGCGAACCTGGAACTAATGTACGATGATATGGAATGCCCCAGAGACCTCTTTTATTCAGTTTTACCCTGTCCATCAGTTTCTTTATGACTAAATTTATCTCGTGTGAATGTGCTCACACAGGAAAGAATGTGTCAGACCAAGCAACACAAAAACAGATTTTTGAGACACACCCTATTGATAATTTGAGAACTGCCCATGTGGCTGCCTTGTTAAAGATACGCTGATGACCTGATTTCATAGCTACTTCAAAACTCGTACATGCCAAGAGAAATGATGCAAAGCATCCGTCGTTTGCAAACATGAAAATGATCTCCCCCACTAAGCTCGACCCAGCCGGAGTCATGCCTGCAGACTCACCGAACGTGGGAAGAGCCCAGTGGTTTTCCGTTTTATGGCTGAGGGTGCAGAAGAGGGAATATAAATGAGAGTGGGCGTCACAGCTGTGTGGGTGTTCAACCCACCCACCGCACCCCTCTGGACCGTCCTGTTTTCCTCTGAGGCCGTTATCTCCTCTGGGACCTGCTCAGACCTCGGCCGGGGGCCACCTCCTCTGGCGACGCAGGCTCTCCTCCCAGGCGACCTCAGTGGACCGTGCTCTTCGGTCTAGCACTATGTTAGTCGCCTGTGGCTTTTTAACAAATCGTCACAAATGTGGTGGCTCAAAGCAAAAGAACTTCGTTTTCTCACAGTGCTGACGGCAGACAGTTCAATTTCAGCATGATGGGGCTGACGTTCAGGTATCCGCGGGGGCTGTACTCCTGAGGCTCTGGGGAAGGCTGTTCCCTGCCGCTTCCAGCATCTAGTAGCTTCCGCCACTCTTTGGCTTGTGGCCGCATTGAGCCAGTTTTTAAGGCCAGGACCTTCAGATGGTCCTGCTCCATCCTCACACTGCCTTCCCCTCGGTGTGTGAGTTACACCCCTCTGCCTCTCTTAGAAGGATCCCTGTGACTGCAGGCAGGGCTCCTGTGGATAATCTCTATCTCAAGATCCTTAATTTAATCACATCCTTGCCATATAAGGTAACCTTCACAGGATCCAGGGATTAGGACAAAGATGTCTTTTGGAGGATGGACCTTTTTTTTTTTTCCCAACAAACCACACCATCTCTGTACCAACGATTCCTAACTTTGTGTCCCCAGCCAAGTTCCCTGTGTTTCAGGTCACATGCCAAGGAAGAGGATCAGATACGCTAATTTGGCATAAGGATTATTTTTAGCTGAAGGCAATTGAAAAATAGCAGATGTAAGGAAAGCTTCCCCCATCCCCTTTGTTGATCTAAAAGCAGAACGTAAGTGGTCAAAACAGGAAAGACAGAAGTCAATCACTAGAGAAAACATTGGACCTATCAGCCTGCAGTTGACACTAGAGGAATTTATGTAACAAATTTTACTAGCTAACCTTTATATTTGCTTTGGAAGTCTAAAACTGTCTCTTTTGTCGTCTCATTTCTCCACAAATGTATTGTTCTTTATGGAAGATGCCATATAAGCCAGCGCTCTAAGCCATTCCTTGAGTTATTCAGTTTTCCTTAGATATCTTCTATGTACACGTGAGGTTTACATGTTAATAAACTTAGGTTTGTTTTCCTCTTGTTAATTTGTCTTTTAATGCAGGGGTCTGAGGCAATAATTCACAAAGGTAGAGGGAAAATTACTCTTCCTGCCCTATACCTAACTCTCTACTTAGACACTGAAATTCAATTTTCACCTAACACCCAAACCATATTTGCCCAGATTGTAGACCAGGAATGTTGAAACCAGTGTTTGTCCTGGATTTCCCCTGCCTTCTGCATTTCATCCAAACACAACCTCCAAACACAACCCCTTTACCCTGCCTCTCTCTCCATCACCTCATTCTATGTCCCTATCTGTCCCACGGAGACCTCCTAAGTGGACTCGTGACTTTCATTGCCGCCCACTTCTCATCCTTTATCTGCTCAGAGCAGAGTCAGTCTGGGGAAATGCGATCAAAATCATGTCCTCCTTGCCTAAACTTGGGGGGCTGTGAGGATGATGTCAGCCCCTACGGTGTCTCTGCCTCCACATGCCATTATTTCCCTGCTGCCTTGGCTCCAAACACTTGGTTAGCTCAGGGCCTCAAGCAGGCTCCCATCTTCCCTCCGGGGCCTTCACACATCATCCTGTGTCTACCTAGGCCCACGCTAACTCACCAACCTCGACCTGACTGCCTTCTCACCTCTGGCCTCAAGTTAGATGTCCTTGAAGATAAGCCCTTCTGGCCCCCAAGGGCTGGCCTCTTTTAGTCCCTCTCATGCCCTGTTCTTTTCTGCACTGCACTTCTGTGCATTAAGTGACACGTTTTTTTTTTTTCACTACATTCATTTCTGCCTCCCCAACTCCATTCTTAGATGGTGAACTCCATGAGGGCAGGGGTCTTATCTGTCGTCTCCACCACTGTTTCTCAGCACTCAGTCAGTGCACAAGGAAGAAGCATCCTCTCCCAATGTCAAGACGGGTCATACACACCCTCTCCAGACCACTGGGCACAGGCTTCCCTGGACCAGTGGACATCCCATAGTCAAACAGATGCTGGGACAAGGCTTCTAA